TGTTTTGTTTCATTCACTAAGGGCTAGCTGTTTAAGACTGATCAATTTCTTTTTTTTTTGGTCTTGATTTTGGTGAGTTTAGGCAGCACAAATATCAATCCATTTGGGTTCCTTGTCCATAGAGGCTCCCTTTCTTTTCACTGTTACAGTTCTGTTTTAAACCTCATCATTATCTCTGCTTACACAAGAGGGATGTAGTATCTGCTACTGTCATTTAACATTTGACTGATCAGTCCTTAATCCATTGTAATTTTTAATTACAGATTGCTCATTTGTAATCTTACTTTCTTCATCAGAAACATCAAAGTTGACAGAGAACAGTGCTAAAATGGCTACATTTGGTTGGTGAGGAGATGTGGCTCCTAATTCTTATGGTACAACTGCTATAGACAGCATCAAGACCTCAGTGTGTAAAGCATTTGGTCATATGGTATTACAGCAGAAGAGCTTCAGACTGATGGACAAGAAGAGGCTAGGTGTGTAGTTACGGAACCCAGAGACATGGGGGTCTTGGCATAAAGCAGAAGAAACTTGGGAAAGCTTTTGCTTTCCTACGTGAACTGTTCTGGTTCAGTTCGTGTAGAATTTGGGTGAATTGCTTATGTTTGATATCTCAGTTTCCCAGAGCAATTGCTTGAAATGCAGTCAGTTTGGTAACTTTCTGCTCTAGCAGATACTCTTCTGCTGCTACTTTTGGAAAAGGGGCCACTCTCCCCAACACCTGGTTTTCATAGTCAGCTCTTAAGTCTACAGGCACACCTGAATAGTTTGAGGCAGATGGATCTAAGAGTCAAAAGAAAGCACCTCTCAGCATGGGTGATAGAGATGACCAAGGTCATGTGGCTCAAGCCAGAAATAAATGCTCTAAATAGATCTTTCACTACTTTCCTTATTAGGGGATGCTGTTCAGTGAGATTCCACAGTCCCAAAGTAACTGGGCATGGTGACTCTTGTCTTTCCCATTTCATGTATTTATACAAGCTAATACATACTGAGAATCAGGTATCCCAGGCCTCAGAACAACTTCTGAGGGAGTCACATAAGATTCACTATTTCCATCAAAGGTAGACCTGGCAAGAGAGGAACCACCACTCCTCTTCAGAGCTGTGGAGTAGATTCCCAAGCCAATTCCCATGGTTAGAGGCTTTTCCTATTGTATGAATGAAAAGAGAGCATGTATATGTGACCTATAAAGTCTACATGAGTGGCTTTCTAATAAGTGTATCAGATAAACTGGGCATACAGAGAGTCTGTGGAACATGTGCGTTCCAGAGCAGATCACTTCAACACATAAGGAAGGTCAGGATAGATGGGGTTAAGGTGACATTGCTCACTAAACAAGCTTCAGTTTTCTCACCCCGCAAGGCAGGGTCACGTTCTCACAGCTGCCAGCTCCTCTCTGTGAAACTGTTCTCTGCAAGTCCTGCACCCTTGCAGCCCGTCACAGAAGTTGCAATTTTTAGGTACTGTGCACAAAGCTGTTTTGACATGATGTACCTACTGTATGTAATAAGGGCATCATTCCCCCCAAGGGGCCAGAAGGTGCTAAACTTCAGTTGTCCTGACTGATGTGTGGCTTCTGCCTGAAAACGGTACCTGAGTGATAGGGAGCTTGCTTTCAATTGGAATTGGCCTGTTTCTGTACGTGGTAAACAGCTGACTATTTCCGTTGTATCAGCAACTATTAGGAACCTTATTCTCCTGCTCTTGCCCTTTAGAAATACAAATATTTTATTGCCAGAAAGGAATTAGCTTATTTCATAAGCTGCTCTGGACTATTGTGGAAAAACTCAAACCATGGCCTCCCTTTTCTTTTGATTTTTGCCTCAAATATGAAAACTTAACAGTATCAAAGTGTTCAAATTTGTTGTTCAAGCCACTTGCTTCTAACAAAAATTGCTGGGAACCAGGAGAGTTCTGCACAGATGCCGGTCTGGGAATGCATTGAATGGCAGCTCAGTGTCTTGGAAAAGTGTTTTCCTCCAGAGCTGCCTACGGCAGAGCAGTACTAATGCAGGGCAGAGAGTATGCGAGAGGGATCTTTTCAGTGAACCATGCTGTGGAAAAATGGAAAGCACTTGAGAGGAAAGCTGTAAATGCAGCTGTGCTTAATGGGAATCCAGAAGGGATGCTCTAAGAGTTAGCCAGACTTTTTGAACTCAGATAACATCCAGGTCAACTCAGGATACTATGTCTGTTGTCTCTAACTTGGAAGTTGTTTGGAACTCATATCTCCTTGAGTCAGGGATTTGTCTTCCAGTGGAAGCGTATATTCAGAGGGACAGCTTTGGTGCGTAAGAACGATTTGTAAATGGGAAGTGCTTATTTAGTGATTAGTGATTTTAGCAGTAGCTTTATAAATCAGTGAATACTGGACTCTTCTCCCCTACCTCCCCAAGAAAAAGTGTTTGCAAGTCTTTCTGAGTTAGCATGGGTGTATCACTTTGGAAAAGTAATATGTCTGACCTCAAAAAGGAGGCTGTGTTTAATTTTTAAAGCAGGTGATAGCACAAGTGTCATGTCCATGTAGTGGTATAAACCCAGAGGGAAGATTGTGTGAAAACTACAGCAGACAGGTTCAGAAAACCTTGGACAAACTGAAAATGGGAGGACATCAGGATTGTATGATACAGCGCCTAACTGTTGGCATATCACTGTCTTAACTATTCAAAATGTTCGCTTACCGGAACAGATGACACTCAGGGATGTTGAAAGCTGACATTTTTTCTAAGGAAACATCAGTACTGTATATGCCTTGATTAAAATTTAGTAAAGTAAATACATTTTAGTGTAATACTACAAGAGACTGCTTTTCTTAGGTAACAGCCCCTTCTGTACTTACTTGCATGAAAATTGTAATTTAAGATTTATGCTGCAGTGAGCACTGTGGGGTGGGATTACATGAGGAGTGCTTTCTACTGAAGAATGTTCTGGGGTCTTTTTCTCCCCACAGGAGAGCCACACAGATGATCATGAAGGTGAAGAGCAAGTCCATGAACAGCCCCAGCAGCAGGATGAGTACTGACTCACGCAGCATCTCTGACAATTTTCATTTTGTGTTAGAACTTTCTTCTGGAGAATGGAACATGTGCGGCCTCAAACTTGAAATCAGTTCACTCCCAGTCTGCCATTAACATTTATGTACCATAGTGAGTGCCAGCCAACCACTGCATTCTGTACCAATACTTTGCCAAGATGCATTTGCAGACGTCCTCTTTCAGTGTATCTTCCCAAGAGGTTGTAGGGCTACATCACCTACTGTACATCACTGCAACTTCACCACTTGGCTGCTTGAGATTTGTTCTGCTCTTTAAAAATATATATATTTATTTTTTTTTCTTTTTTTCGTCTTAAGTATGATACACTTGTAACTTGTTCTAACATATTTATATTGGCATTTTGTGTGGCGAGGAGTTCCGTACCACTAGCTGTGTTTCTCACTTTGTGGTGCTTTCGCGTTTTCTAGTACATCTGCCTTGGGGCATGGATTTGGTCAAACAGTTGGAATAAAGGGATACAGTGGATGTCATACTCAAGCCATAACGATGAGGTGTGTTGTGGAAGAAAATGCTCATGTTGCTCATGTTTATTCCTTCCCTGCCTTCACAGGCAAGAGCATCTGTTTCAGTGGGAGATTTAAACCCCTATGTTAGAAAGCTTCGTAGAAAGCTGCATGGTATGTTTTTTGGCTTATTTCTGGAGGAACAGGCATCCACTTAAGTTTTTTGAAAACCCTCCCAGTTTCCTGACTAGTAAACAGGCATTTCCCAGCTTTTCTTCCTTCCTGAGGAATCCAGTCCCAGCCTCCAGCTGCAGCTCTGCCTCCACAGAACTCAGTGCTGATGGAGAGATCTCCTTGACACAAGTGTAGCTGCAGGACATGATTTCTGCCATCGTTTTTGGCTTCCCACCCTTCAGAAAAGGACAAAATAGGCCAGCCATTTCTTTTTGCTTTCTTTCTCCCCTCCACTGCCCCATCCATAAAAGCATGGAAGACAGAAATTTTCTCACTAGTGCAAGGTATGGGGAAAAACCAGCAACAGCGCTAGCCCTGAACCCCGCCCCAAACTTTATGTAAGTGAGTGATGGACGCCTCATGGGTTTGAGGCTGCTCCCAAAGCATGGAGAGGCAGTGAGGAGTCCTGGAGACAGGGCACACATAAGAGGGGGACCATCTGACTTGAGGGGACAGAGGGGCTTCTGCTCTGGACTGACCTTCCTTCATCAAGGCCCTGGAGATGTCTGCAGTGAGAGTGTTCCCTTCCAGTGTGGTCCCATGACCGTGTTCTAAACGATGGTATTTTATAAACGGCGGTATCTTGAAGTATATAAAGCATTCCTTGTTCTTCTCATAAAACTGTGTGTTGTAGTCTCTCTGATTATGTAATGCTTGGTATTCTTGGTTTCTCACTTGATCTCTGAACTGGGGATTGTTATGCTGATTTAGCAGGTATGTGCAAATCCCGTCCCAGTCAGCATTCACTGAAAAACTCCAAAGCCTATTGAACAGCTAAATCATTTTAGACATTCATAGGCTCCTAAAGTGTTAAGTTCCCAGCTTATGCTTCCATGGAAAGGTTTGCAATTAATCAACCCCTGGGCACACACACGCATGACACATGCAGTTTTCCATTCCTAATCAATCTTTTGCAGCTAAGTGGCTGTTAGTTAAATGTGAGAACCCTGCTGTTGTGTTGCAAACCACCGACAATGTATAAAATACTGTTAAGCACTAGAACAGGTATTTCCAGTTCCTTGATCCTCCCCCTGCACAGCAGAAGAGTTTCTGGACCCTGCAGGCTGAAGTTTTGCCAGCCCTGCATCCAGTATTGACCTCACATCCCTACTCGGTGATGAAGTCGAAGTACTGCAACCTGCAGGCCAGCACTTTCCCCTCCCATTTCAATTGGATGAAAATAAGGTCTGGTTTAATTATTTAAAAAATGTGCATATTCCAAAATAAGTATTTCCAAGAATCACCACAAATGGGGGAATTGTCATTTTTGTTGTATTTGTGTTTATTAGAACATATGTACTTATTACAATTGTCATTGTAATAAATGGTAGTTCTTCATAATACTGTTGAAGAGCAGTTACTAATTTTTTTTCCAGATTCCAGAATGTCCTCTAACCTATATGGGATCTCTGATGGGGCAAGGAGTTTGGGATCAGGCTATAAACTTAGTTTCATCAGCATCAATCTCTGCTTACTGCCATTCATCCTTCTGCTAATACTTGAGCAGATGCATGGAGAGCACTTCACGGGAAAACATTTTTGTAAAGATGCAAATGGTTGGGGTTGCTGAGCTCCCTGGACGATTCATAGCCAGGCTGTTGTGCCTGTCTCCTTTTCTCTCTTTTGAAGCACATACTTAAAAAAAAAAAAAAAAATTAAAAAAAAAAATTAAAAAAGCTGCACTTAATTTCCTGAAAATTCCTCGTATCCTGTTTCTAATCTGAGGACCATAGCCCTCTCACTGCTTGTATCAAGGGGGGAGTGACTGATGTAGGGGCAGTGAAATACCTTGGGGGCACTAGAAATTTGGCTGTGCTGAGGGGAGAGCAGTGTTCTGAAAGGGGAAAGAGTTGTCCTTCTCCCCCCACCCCCTGTGAGTAACCCATTCTTCTGTTATGGTTTTAATATGCATTTGTAATTACCTTTACTAAATAGCACACCATAAAGCTTTGGTTATATATTAAATGTAAACTGAAAGGAATGTAAACATATGTATTGTTAATTATAAATAGATAAGTAATGGCATAATAGATACAAAAAAAGTCTTATTCAGATGTATCAGTCATTTTACATTATCCACAAATTGTCGCATGATAGAGTAGATTTTTGTCTGAATATGTGAATAACTTGACTTGCGTTTATCTTTTTACATATTTAATAAAAAAATATATGTTAAAATCTGTCTAGCTCTAGAGACTATTCAGAACATTCTAAAATAATACTTCTCTGGATAAAATACATATTTTTGATTCATCAGGGACTGCATATGGGAGCAGGATGAAAAAGGCAGCTGCTTTAAAAAACCAAAAGTTCACTTATCCTCTGTGTGTGGGTAGCATCTGTTTCGCTCAGCAACTGTATTGCCTCCTATAAATCAAAAAAAGAAAATGCATGTATGCCTGTGCATGTAAACAGCACATTCTTCTTTATGGTAACTGCTTTTGGATTTCGGAGTATTAGATCTCTTGTGTATCAGTTTTGATACAACAGCAAAACTGGCAGCAGCCAGGAGGCGAAGAGAGTACTACAGCAAGGGCACTGAAACTCCCAGTGGACCTTCCTGCAGTGGCCAAGTATTCAGGGATGAATCTTCAGTGCAGTACCTAAAAGCTGGCTGCGTTTCAGGTTAAAGTATTAGGCTTTTGGGAATAAAAGGGGGGAAGCTTCATTGTAGTTCTCACTGCTCTGATCTTCTGTAGCACGAGCAATGTTGCCGCAGTAGTTGCTGCTCAATCTCCAAGGCTTCGAGCCTTGGCTCAGGGCCCCTTCGTGCCATGGTTGTGTGCCACCAGCCTGGGCCCCGCTGCTATCAGGTATCCCTGGAATTGAGGCCAAACCTTTGCTTAGCCCCACTCAGGGAAGGTTTCTAATAAAGAAGGTAGGATGAAGCAGGGACTGGAGGTGCCCATTTCCAACCCAGGCATTCAAACCTGGGAGAGCTGCTCTTTTGAGATGCTTTTTGTAAGACTTGGTGGGGAGGCACGTCTTGGGGCTAGTGCAAATGTTCAAAAGCATAAAAAAGGTACCTGTTTTCCAGTTCAAATAGTTGAAAACTTTCTGCCATAATGTTGCAATGACAACAAAAAAAATATTTGTTAAGACTATTAGGTCATCTACATAGTTATCTGACTTGGCAAAATAAATCTGTGACCGTACCACCCTGTGTGCAAAGCATTTTAATTCCTGTTCATTGAATCAGTTACCATCTAGGATGGCTAAAAACTCAAAATATACACTGTGCAATACATGATTTCTTTTTATACTTGTCTTTATAGAGATTGTAGTGACAAGCTGCTTTAAAAAGGAAAAATAAAATTATTTGCCATGTTTTCATATAGAAGGTGGAAAAGCTGGCCAGAGCTTAATGTCTTTTAAAACTGATGCTGTATTTCTCTTTAGAAAGGTACAAGTGCAGCCAGGTTGTGGTAGTTCAAGTTTTGTAATTTCATTTAATGAATATTTCAAAATACTCCATTACAGTGCATCAAATTGTGCTGCTTCTGTGACCCTTATTTCCAGCTGTTTCCTAATTAAGTGCAAGACAGATGGAAAAGGGAAGCCTGTCCACAGAGTTTCTCCAGTACAACCAATTTGGAGGTAACTTTGTTTATTGTATTCTAATTCTTTTCTCGTCAGAACTTCCTCCAGACACTTGTGATGGAAGGCTGAAATATAAACTGCCTGTATAAAGTAAGTGAGACTTTCGTGGCAGTGTCTCTGGTATTGGACGTAGTGTTTAACTTCATCAAACATTGAGACTGCTTGCAACAACATCATGCAACATCATCAAACTTGTCATTCCCCTTCAACACAAACTGCCTTTTTTAGCAAGCCTCATTAATTAAACAGCCTTCAGACTTAATTCTGAGAGAGTCCTTAGGGAGTGCCTTGGTGGACACCCCACATTCCCTGGGCATCATGCAGGATGGGGGCATGTCTACCACACCATTGGGAAGGAAGGCTGGGAGATGTCTCTTGGAGCTGGACCACAGTAGTACCAAAGGGCTTGGGAGCCTCCCTTCCCTGCAGGAGGGCTCTTGGAAAAACCTCTGACTGAGCATTAACAGGATGACCACACCCCTCTGCCTAACTCAAACCTTAGGCTGCTTGAACTGTGACTGCAGTCTCATGTTCATTTGTGGGGTGGGACCCTCAACATGCTCGTTTCGTAGGTGGAAGGAACGTGTGTACTTTCACACCACCAGAAACCTTCCCAGTCACTGTGGGTTTCTGCTTTGTGATGAGAGGAAGCTGATGTGCAGGCCTGTCCCCTGGTACCTGCAGGAACGGCTGCCAGGTACAACAGTTGTGCTTTTGCCTGGCTTCTGGCAAGTGAAATAGTTAATGAATGTGCCAGTCTGTCAACCCCATCCCTCTGTGCAAGAAACGCAATCTCATGCTTACCTTGGGGAAGTGGACAGATTGTTTCATTAGTGCTTCAAGACCACAAAGTCCCTCTGGCTAGGGCAGCATATGAAAAGGGATGAAACTCCAATTCTTACTCCTTCCTCCAAGGCATGCCAAAACCTACGTGTATTATAGATGAAGTGAGCAGTTTACATCTGCATGCAAATGTGTAATGTTTGGGGGGGGGGAAGCTTTTCTTGTTTGTTCTTTTTTTGTCGTTTTCTAAACTCACAAGAATTTGCTTCGAGCACACAGGCAAATAGTGGTTTGTTTTGCATTTTGCACTCATACATGATGTTTCACTTAAACTAGTTTTGCAGTGAAATGTGTGAATCTTTGAAGGTCTGCTGGCCAAATTTATTTTCTGCTGGTTACCTTTGTAGAGTATATTGCTCGTTGCTAACTGAAATATCAACAATGTGCTTGTTACTGCCTAGAAAATAAATCCAAAGGTCAGCTGCTGCTGGTCAGAGCCTGCATTTCTGACAGATACAGGTCAGCTGAGACTCATCTTAATGCTGAGAATGAGAAAAAAACCCGTACATTTCAAAAACACTTTACTGTACCCATAGCTTTCTCAGCTCATTCTCTTGTCTTCACACATTCATTTGAGGTAAGGAAAAGACTGAATGTGCATAAGCCTTTCAGGAGGTTGTATGGAAGAAATGAGTTGTGAGAAAGTAATTATGGAAAATGAAGCAGGCACAGATGTCTGAGTGAGAAGGACATACAGGGGAGTGTTTGCACTGCTGGGGTCCCACTGGTGACTAGGCTGTTCAAAATCAGTGCTGGTTATAAACCACCACGAAGCTTATGTAACCTGGCATGAATTTCTCCAGGACTTTGGACAAAATGGCAAGGAGGAAGAAGACCAAAGCTTCAGAGAGGCCAGTAACACAGCATTTGCATTAGAAGAGAATAAATGTTAGCAGCAGAACAACTTGGTAAACACTTCTCTGCTGGACAGGAATCTTCCTCTGAGATGAAACATCTTGCTGCATAGCTCATTGTCGTAGTGGTTCAGATATCTGTACTGTTCTATTCTTTGGTTATTTTAATCAGATTAATTCCAACTGTTTGTCACATCAGAAGAGTTGCGGATCTCCACGTCAGTGTTACAGTCTGATCATAGTGCAGGTGTTCACTCTTGGGCGCGTTTCTTCAGGGAAAAGATGTAAATGTTCAAGTGCTCACTCAGCTGCCTACCCTAAAGAGAAATTATGGAGATTAGCAGCCTGTTTTGTACGTGCTTCACACACACAAAGTGCCTCTCCTTTCCCAGGCAGAGGGGGGAGGACCCAACCACAGGCCTCATGTACTTGGGGACCTACAAGTACACAGAGACCTGCAAGTATTCAAGCAAGAGAGCTGTTCTTACATTCCTCTTGCATCACACTGATGGGAAGTTAAATTGCTACAGACCAGATTCACAGATGGCATAAACTGAAGCTGGGCCCTCTCAGTCAACAGTGAACGTTGATCAGGTATTTCTGTTTTGACCCTCACCATTTGGCCCATACTGATGCTGGCGTAGACTCTACTATGACACCAATGTCTGTTGACAAGTCTTCTTTCAAAGAAAATCCTTACATCCCAATGGTGTGTCTTAAATTGAAGAATGCTGAACAACTCCCTCTGAAATGAGATTTTTGCTATGCTAGGTGTTTTATCTAAAAGCAAATGCCCATGAAAACACTTGCTAATGCATTATTTGACAATTTAGAAAAGAGGGCATCAACAAAGTAAAAATGAATTTAAGCAGTAATTCAGATGACAATAAAGGATGAGTCTGAGATCTAGCAGACACAAAAATGCACTGGTAAGACTGAATGAACTGGAAGACTAGCTATTTTGTCAGCAAATTCAAAGCAAAGTTGGCCTTATTTTATTAATTCTATCCATGGCACTTTGCATTTTACCTCTCTAGTTTTTCAGTCAGGTAACCTCAGGAAAAAGAAAGGCCAAAAAAAGGAGTGGGAGTGTTCATGCCACATTGGTCAGCTGCTACATAAACCCAGTCCATAAATATTCTGATTGTGATGGGTTTAAAGCGAAAACTGCTTTGGTACATTGGAACAATTCAAGTCACTGAAGTTGTTGCAAAAAGGCACTGCCTGTAATAAACTGACTTTTTTTTTTTTAACTTTAGACTAAATTAAAAAAACCAAAACAAAACAAAACACAAAAAACCCCTAATTGACCTTTCAGACTCCTGGACCCTGCCCCATCTAGAAACCGTTCCCAGCCCCCATCTTCCTGCCCGCCCCGGGGCAGCTCTTCCATGGCTGCTTCGGAGGCACCCGCTCACCACGCAGACCCCGTAGTGCACGTGGGCGGCTGTGACCAGGGCGGTGAACACGGCAAGAACAGCTTCTTCCATCCAGCCCAGCAGCCCGGAGATGGCTGCGTACACCACCAGCGCCAGCGGGAACAGGAACCAGTGGAAAAGCTCCGGCCGGGTGCCGCTCATCTGGCAGATGATCACCTTGCACTGTTGGAGCAGAAGGGGCCAGGTGAGAAGCGCTGGGTCAGCCCCTGGGGGACCAAGTAAAAGCACATCCATTTTCTCTGTGGGTTGCTTTGGATGAGGGGAAAACAAGGCTAGAGTTCAAAATGGGGCTTGTTTCTGGTGAGAAGATTACTATAGGTGCATCTTTGTGCCCTCACAAATGTCCTAAAGGACATTATTAGAAGTCATTTAAAATACATACTTTTCTGGAGACAGCATTTTGACACGCTTTATAAGGCGAAGCACATCTTCACAAAAGGGAAGTTTGTTTGCCATCTTACGCTATTACAGGGGCTCCTGAAGTTGTGATCCCAAATCAAATGTGCCACCACTTAACTTAATCACTGGGAGAGTGTAATGGTATTTTAATCACGTGGCGTGACAGAAATGTCTTCTGGTTCATTGTATGGAAGGGAGGGAATACAATAGATGACACTTCCAAATCCTGTTTTTCTTTTCTAGCACTCCTTCATGTACTAAAACACCATTTTCTTGGCTCAGTCATGGCAGTGGATTTCCCGGAGATGTAGTTGGGGGCCCAGAGAAAGGGATCCCGCTCAGAATGAGGGAAAAAAATGAGTATATGGTGCATGATTTAACTGAAAGCAATTAGCTTAATTCTACTGAGTTCTTGAAACCTAATGAGATGAACTCACTTGAAGTTCAGCATTTTAAAACCCGTTAAGCACACCGAAGTGTTTCGCCTAATTTAGGCTCCTTAAGAAATGTGTCTCACATACACCATGCCCTTTACAAAAATAAAAAGGAATTTAGGCACATCTGAAATATTTTACTGATTTAAGTTTCACTCAAAATTGAAATGTGGCTAAAAATAGATTTTATGTATCCTGAAAACAGTAGAAGAATGAAAAACTCATTCCCTGTGCAGTGCCTGAAATCTTATGACAGCAGCAGTAGGAGTCTGATCATAGGGAAAAAATACTGGCTTTACTGCCTGTTCTGTGGAAGCTGAAGAATGCAAAAATAAACCATGAAAAAACAATTAACTTTCAATAACAGAAGAAGTAAGCATTTGTACCTAAGGCTAATATTTTCACTTACAATGCATTCTCAGTATTGATTGTGAATTTTTTTAATACCACTAGTTTTATGGGTCCTTTGGGAATCATTCCAGAGGGTATAAGAAATTGCTAAAGCAATCTATATGCTATAATTTTTCTTCTAAATAATTGCACCTGTCCAGAGGTTGAATTTTACAGTGTTTTAAACCATTATTATATCATGTTAAGTACAGTACTGGCTTTTTCATAAAGATTGCTTATTAATATTTGGAGCAATTCACCTTCAGTGTATCACAGGACTGCAAAATGGACTACGCTCTCCGATCCTCCCTCAATTCCTTTTTTCCCTTGGTCCTGAAGCACTGACTGACACTACAAGTGAGGCAAAAACAGCATTAGGAGATGAAGGCACTGGTGTCTGGATAGGGAAATGGGAAAGAAGAGGTAAGGGACAGCGCCCTGTGCTTTTCCATCCCCCTCACCTATGCCTTCCAACGCTTCCCTGGCCCTGCTGAAGTTAATCCTCTAGGAAACTGTGGTTTGAGTAGGGCCTTAATGTCTTCTCCCTTACCATTTTCCCTGGAAGGTTCCTCAAGAAGCACCTCATGAGTCTGAGCTGCTCTAGCTCATCATGGCAAGCCACCACATCAGCCACTGCACTCCTGCCATGGGGATGGCTCAGCTCCCCTGCGTGGGACTTACCCACTCCATCACTCCTCCTGGACTCAAATACGTGCCTCTGAGGGCTTCCTACATGGGAGCTGTGGCAGCTGTGCTCTGGGGTGGTTTGCTCACACCTGGATACTTGTGACACTTGCCGTATGAACAAATACCAAAGCCAGGTCAGCTTCCCAGCAAGAGGGGTAGTCAATCCACAGGCAGTCCCACTGCCAGCTGTGGGGACTGGGAAAAGAAGTGCTTCTCTCACGGGTAAGCAGCTTTCCTTTTTTAGGCCTAGGAGGACTTACTTCCTTAGTTTAGCCAAAAATGCTGGATACAGCCCTGCTTTCTGCCTGCTCCCTACTTGCCCTGACACTGCATGGCTGCGAGACCAAGTCTGAGACCAGGCTTTTAGCTTAGGGAATCTGCTGGGTGACCAAATATGTTGTCAAAGGCATGAGAAGTTCAAGATACTGGCAGGTAGAGAAACGTGGGCTGCAGTTTGTGGTCTACAGAGCAGATAATGGAAACCCAGTGTGTCAGGCTATCAAGGAGAAGAAAAGTATTGCCATGACAAGCCTTACTCTGATGCTGGAAGAAAAGTGTGTATAAGGGACCAGTGGAGGTGAAAGGAAATACAGGCTTGTTTTTCAGCTTTAAGATGTTATAATTTCCAACTAACACCCATACATTTTTAATGCTTGCTTTTAAAATGTTAAAAATTTCATCTAACATGCATACATTTTTAATTCACGTGAGCCTCCGACACTGCAGTATGTGTTTTGGGAACAGAAAAAACAAGGCCTGAAGAATATATATTGCACTTGATGTCTGACAAACTGCAGTCTATAAAGAAACTTTTGGTTTGCCTTGCTGTTTTTCTTCTGCAAGCATCCTGCCACAATCACTCTTGGTTGGTTAAGATGTATGTGCAGAAACTGCCATCTGTCAGACTCTGAAAGCATTTTCCCTACTGGCATGAAATAATTTTATTTCTTATTTTGGAATCTATGCTATTCTTTTAAGAAAAAGGGGTAGATTAGGTAATGAAGAATGCATACAATAAAACTTAACACATCTGAAAATAACCTCCTTTTCATGAGATTAAGTCCTTAAGATGGAACTGTTTGATCTGTGACCCTCAGAAACATACATTTATAGGATACACCTAACGAACATTACAATTATGATTTCTTTCCCATTCCTGAATACAAGTTTATAGAGGCATTATGCTTTCTCTTTTAAAATCCCACATTTTTTAAGATCTCTCTCATAATGCAAGGCACTTCAAGCCTTTCACTTTTTAAATCAGATGTAGCATTGCTCAGTGACACAGTTTTAGATGGTGTTGGAGACTATTTTCCTAAGATGACACTAGGCACTATCCTCTAGGGTATTTTTAGCTTAAATGGAGGAACACCTTTCTGCTTGGCTACTCTCCTGGCAAGAAGAGAGGCAAAGGGCTTCCTCCAGAGAAGAAAGCTCTGGGTTACCTGCAGTGCTCAGCACCACTGTCTGGCTGCCCGGGCTGGTACTTCACGGAGGTTTATGTTGCCTCACAGGCATTAAAGGGGGGAAACTGGTCACAATGATGTGGTATGGGAGAAACTAATTTGTGGGCAGAGAGCCATCAACGAGGCCACTACATCCCTTCACATCTTTCCCTAAAACATGCTGTCAATGGTATGGCCTTACTCTAAGCAGTGAAGGGAAAATGTAGGATCAGCTGAACTGCAGGATACAGGAATACATGTACAACACTAATGGGCACAAGAGCAAGGGAAAGCCACAGCACCTCTACTCTTGCTAGTAAATCTGTACCTGTTTTGACTGTATTTCTGAAGTAAAGCCTCCCTGGGGCTTTCATAAACCCTCAAAAAAAAAAAAAAACCAAACCGCAAAAAAACCCAAAGCAAAACAAAACAAAAAAATCCGAGAACCCTCATAAAAGTGTTATGCTGTGGCAGAGTAGGTATTTCAGTACTGTAAGTGTCCCTAGTCCAGACAAGTGTTATGGTGTATTTTTATATGACAGAGCACAACACAGAGGCAGAAGAACTGAGTGACTCTGCTGATTTTCGCTATATTTTCTGTCCCCTTCTGTTTATTCACATAAAAATAAAATGCTATCTCTAAATAAACTATCTCTAAATAATATCTCACCTCAAGTATACTTACAATAACGTTGGAGAAAGCAACCCCAACCATCCATAAAAACAGTCTTGGTTGCTTTGCTAATATGTTGCTTGGAGATAAAACCACCCAGACTGTAAGAAGAACGAACAGCAACAGAGGTGACACAAGAGGTAGGAGTCCTTCATACAGGGAATCATTCTTCAGTGTTTTCTTTAAATGTGCTCTGTAAGTAAATACAATAATTTTATGGATTTAAGAAATTGGATTAAGAAAATTTATGCATTCTATTTCCACACAGTAACTTCAAACTCAGCCCAGGAGTTCATCTTGCAACACAGCTGCCTGTGCAAATGTGCAGACATTTTTCAAGAAACTGTAGTATGCCCAAGTAACATTTATTTCTGGGGTTAAATTCTAAATTATTCACATAGCTCCTGGTCAGCTTTACCTGCTCACCATTGCCTGGCAATGGACCACTGAGCTCTCATGAAGTGAGCTGCAGTACTCTCAAGTGTACAGGCATGCCATGAATTCACAAAAGAGGATGAAACTTATAACATGAGACATGGAATTGTTTCAGTCAATACGCCCCATGTTTTCAGTGGCAGCACAGTCAAGCACACGGCTGGCAGGTATTGCTGTTGTTTAGGTCTAGTCTGCTAGACAATACTGTACCACTGTCAAAGTACAGCCTAAAGGGGAGGCTTTTTTGGCTAATTAGAGTACAGGAAAATTAATGATGCATTGTGTTTTCTTGGATACTTTAAGCTGGCTTTTAAAGGTGGTGCTATTAAAGGCAGTAAATGACTGCATTTTATGTAATTTAGGAAAATGGTAACTGTAAGGTCAACAGCTTTTACCTGTATCTTGCATCTTTCTCACTCAGGCAAACCTCATTCTGAGGTTATAAAAGGAGTAGGAGGTTTAATTTACTAAAGTAAAATTTACTACCATTAAGTTTACTACCATTAAATTATTCCTTCATACCACTAGTTCAGAAGAGCAATTCTGTGTTTGAAGTGTACTGGGAAATGTCCTGCTTAAAATCTCTGAACATATGTATTTATAGAAACAGCTAGACAAAAATCCAAGAAATATCTTTCTCATGCCAAAAAGGAATACTCTTCTCCTAAAATAAAACTGAGAACAGGCATCGGGATGAAGAAAGAGAGGAGATGATTGGAAAACTCATCATCAAAGAGCTTGTATGTGCATTCTTCAAGCAAACCTGACTGGATTTGTAAAATGACTGTGCCATTCTGTTGAGAGGAATGATAAACCCACTGGAAGGCTTGAGAGGAACCGTGTCAAATGATGACTTGAAAAAGAAAACACTAAACAAAAGTCATGACATGAAAGGAAGGAAAACAAAAGCGAAATATTCATTGGGGCAAATGCTGCTACTGCCAGGGGCTGACATGCACAAGGTGCTTCCCTCCTTCACTGAGTTGTTCTCAAACCAGAGTCCCTTGCCCCACTGGTTCCCAGTCCCCTGCCCCATAGCCCAGCTTTACTGCAAGTCCTCAGCTTTTCCTGCCCCACATCTCTTGACTCCCCATTCTTCCTGCCTCAAACTCGGGGCTGTTCATGCTTCTATTAACTACACTGAGTACTGCAACTCGAAAAGGGCTGTGTAGGAACAATGAGATATTGTGTTATAGTCTCTTCAAAATTTAAATGTTAGTATTAATTTCCACTAATTCCTGAAGATGGGCAGTGACAGTCCCTCCTCCAGGACACTTAGGACCTGAGAGACCTCAAGTGACAAATGAGTGAAATGAGCCATCAAACACTAGTAGAAGGCAGGCTGCATTAATAAAAATAGGCCATCAGAGTATAAACTCTGGATGAAACTCCTAGGTGGAGCAAGCCAGCTCTTAGATGTAATCACAGCTTGCCACCTGCCTAGCTTATATCTGATAGCAATTATCTGCAGACTTCATACAGAGGAGAGTTTTGCAGAAGGACCTGGAAGACAGTGAAATACTTCACTGTGTGTAGGATGATCAGCTACAGAATTTTACTTAGTGCAGGCAGAAGTTACAAATCACATTTGATTGCAAATAAAACACAATGTTTGTAACCAGCTTTTATCAGTTTACTGTGCAGGACCACTGTGAGACTGCCTGGAGAATGGCAAGTGAAAGGAAAAGGGGAGAGCTGTAAACATGGAAAAGAAACCAGTCAGATTCTGAAAACTGACCAGAAAAATCTTTTACTATGTTATCAGCATCTGGATAAAGGAGCTAGGCTACTTTAAGCACAAAATTTATTTCTAATTGAGGAAACCCTTAAATATACATAATTAAATGCGAGGGAATAGAACTTACTTAATGTTAATTAACTTACCTGTGAATATTGTATAGTGTTTGTGGAAATGAAAGAAATAAACTGAAGCCTGGAAGAGAAAGAGATTAATATGTAATGCTACACTGATGACCTCAGAGTTTTCTCATATGATAACAGAGCTAATCTGCTATTTAAAAAATGACTCAGCATTCCTGTACTCATCAAAGGATACAAACTGAATTTGGAAGCTTTTGGCAATAATAAAGCCTTCCTCATTTTTGCAGAAGTTAGCTGCTAGAAATAGTTGCTGATACAGACTTTCTTGTATAACAAGTGACAAGAACAGAAAGGATTTTAAAAATTCTGATGTAGCTAATAGGTAGGACCAATTATTTTTCATACAGGTTTCTCTGCTGGACAGCCGTATTTTGCATGAGCTGCTGTCTACGTAGAAAAAAACCCCAAGTCTGACACCAAAAGCCTTCCAGTGGAATACAGAAAGACAATTAACCTCAAACAGTGCTGTTTACATTACTGGGGAAAAACGTGTTTATCGTTCATTATATTAAGGGTAAACTAATGATCTGTTTTGCTGATGCAATAGCTAAAATGAATTAATTTTCATGATATGTCCATCATTTGAATGAGTGAGGGTTTTTTACTATTTTTTTTTTTTTTTTTAATAGAGGTGTGATCTTTCTGGAGCTCAGCTTTAACTCCCAAAGCACAAGTTCATCTTTGCTAGTGCTGAGTCTGTCTGCACTGCTCCTGGTAGTATCAACACAGCTGCCAGCAGCCCCAGAGCTGCCTGAAGACCCTGTTGTACCCCCTCTACCAACACCCACATCCAAAACACATCAGTCCACCCAAGGGTCAAAGAAGACTCCAGCAAGAAGTAGAAGTTTGAGATTCGAACAAAAAAAGCCACTATATCAGTCATCCTAACTAGGTGAAAATATATATAAGACTTCTTTAATCTCTGTATTTCCTTGTAGAGCTCTTGGGTTTGTTTTCCCACCACCACCCCTTTCTGTGTATTGAGGGCTTTTCCCTGGTCTATTTACTGCTTGGACATTGCTCTAGGTAGCACATTTCATATATTATAAGGCATGAGGATTAGGTTTACTGCACTAAATTAATACATAATTCCTGTTTGGTTATGAGCAAGAAAAGCACTCTGATGTGCTAAACCTTCTGGTATTACTCTAAAAAAAAAAACCAAACACCTCATTTAAGAAACACAGGGTACTGTTTGTACAGAAAAGTAGAAAACTTTAATATAATTATTAGAAGTAAGGGGGGAAAAAAGAATTAATAAATAGAGGAAAGAGCTGATTTCAGATGACTTTATACTGGGGTTAACGTGGCATAGCAGAGTCTTGAGAAATGTCAGTGTTTACTGTTCAGTCCTCATCAAAGACATACCCAAACGTTTAGCACGCTCTGGCCACTCAGTGGTAACTCAAGAGAAGGAAAACTAAAAAAAACCGAGAATAGTGGAGATCAGGATTGTTGAAGAAGTAAAAAGGGATGCAATAGATAATCTGTCTGTCCAGTCTTGCTGCTTATCTTTTAAAGAGAAGGGAACAAAGAACAGGAAAAAAAGAATATCCAGCCTGTAAATAATTTCAGGTATTGCATTTTTTTTCATGCTTACTTCTTTGTTTTTGCTTTTTATAACAAGTAAGATAAAGAGCTCTGCTTCTTTACTGTGGTAAAAACTCCCTATCAAACAGCTGAAGGATGTGCAACTGAAGTAATATCCCATTTATTTTGTCGATGTATTTCTAAAATTCACAGGTTTAGTGCCTTCAGAGTGATCTGTGTTTAATGTGCACTCCAGTTAGCTATGTTTTCTATTAGGCAGGGAGGGCTAGTTCAAAAAAATCTTGAGTTACGTACAGCAGTTCCAACATCTGTATCGCATTAGAGCAGACATGAGACAAAACATTGACTCTTGAGGTTAAATCTAAATTTCCTGCTGCAATCCTGAAGTTTGATTTGTTAGGAGAAAAGCAACCAAGAGGAACAGAAATAGAGACTAGAACTAGAAATAGAATTCAAAGAGCAACGGTTGCCAACAATTTGTTATTTTTATGAAGTGCCATTTTAGTTAGAAATAACACACTGACCACAAACAGTCCCCCAGCTAGCTAAAAGCCACTTTCCAAATGGGGCAGTTCCACCAGTTACTCCCCTGTATTTTAACACAGCTTTGCTTTTAGCAGAGGGAGAGCTGAGGATGCAGCAAGGAAAGCAAAGGGTGTTCCCCTGTTTCTTAGGGGATTTTCAAAATTCCATCATTTCCTACAACATGTTGCTTTCCCATCTTTTTTTAGCTAAGGAGGCCTGGCTTGGGGGCTGCTTTTGGTACTCATTAAGTCTGCTTTTTAATTGGCATTAAGGATCCCTTTGTGCCCAGGAGCTAAACTGCTGCATCCGCATTGCTGCCATTCCCCGCTGCTCTGAGGAACAAAAGGTGCAGCCTGGAAAGCAAACCCACTGCTGGCTCTCTGGCACTCAGCCACCCAGGCACTGCCCAGAGTGATGATCACAGAGCTTTTTTTTTTTTTAAATGTCTTAAAAGTGCATATTTTATTTTAAAATCATTTTTAAAATCCAAGTTCAGTGCATTAGACGTTTTTAACACATTAAAATAGATAAACATTAAAATAGAACTCCTCACGTGTTCTTAGAAGTATTACTGCTCTCTCAGTATTTTTTAATTTCTCCTTTGATATTTTCCCATTTTCCAGCTGATTTAAAATCCAAGACCCAATTTTAAGAGCATAGGCCTATATTAACAGCAGAAATACCAAAGCACACATGGGTGGCACAGATACACACAGGAAATTCTTGTGTCACACCAGGCTGAAGGCTGAAGCCCAAATCCTCGGATTTATGTACAATCCTATTGTCAGTCCTTCTGCCTTGCACTATCTGGACTCCCTTTTCAGAGAAATAAGCATTCAAAAAGCTCTTTATTGGGAATTATCTTGTTCATATTCAAAAAACCAAGTAAAACCAAAACCAAACAAATCCCAAAACATTCATAAATTCAGGATTAAAGACAAGTCAGAAATGAAGGCATTATCTTATTTTCCAAATATATATATATTTGTGTGTATATATATATAAACAGAGATACATACAGGCATACACCAACATGCATGCATATCCACATGTGTGCAAAAGAGATCAAAACGTAATTCCCATCAATTTTAGATTTCATCTGGTGCTTTCAAATTCAATTCCAAAACAATAAGATGTCTTGTGATATAGCTGAGTTAAATTGATAATAATTAAAAAAAAGGTAGCATGTGATGAATATCGCAGTACATTGTCACCTATGTTATTTAGACTAACAGTAATCTATTTTAGTTTCATTACATGAGGGCACTTTAAATGCTCATGTAACTAAATTTAAAGGCTACTGAAGACCTGCAGGCAGTCAGGTTGTTTCCATGACATGCTGCAGTTACTTACTGCAGCTGTCATACCTGAGTTAATTTAGGCATTTCTGTGAAATACAGACCTGCTTTTGTTGTAGAGAAAGAGAAGGTATGGCCAGAAACAAACTGCTGACACTACTCTCAGTTCTAGAAAATGCTATTTCAGTAACCAACCAGCCCCCCACTGGCGCTCAGACAAAAGCAGACAGCCTGATGCAGGTAGCCACGTTTCTGAAAACACAAAGCCTCACAGACTGTAAACACTGCTAAATAAAGAAGCAAGTCTAAGACACATAAACCACTATTTTAAAAGAAATTACACTGCTTCAGAGGAAGGACAGTGTTTATCTTTGCTGTTTATCTTCTCCACACCTTTGCTATCATAAATCCCCTTTGTTGGTAAGTTCCTGACAAATGAATCATCCTTATGCTGTCCTAAGGAAAGCACTGAAATATTATTTGTTAAGAACTGGATTTCCTGATAGTTAGAAGTTCAAAATGAGGCAGTGCAATTTAAGGATGCAGCCTTAGGTGAACACCACACAGGAAACTGTGAATTTGCTCAGGAAAGTACCATCCCTGCTGTACTTCCCCTAAAAAAGACTCCCCAGAGTATTCATCTCATTTGAGAGGCAGGGAATACGTATGTACAGACCTTCTCCTGGGCATATTGCAGAATTTGAGCAACTCTTTAACAGTAGACAGTTGTTACTTGCATTTCAGCCTACAAATGAAATACTATCACCCTCCTCCTCTCACTCTTCTATTGCCCACATCTCCACATGGCCTTCTTCAGTGTACTGCTTGGCCTTTCCATCTCTAGATTAATAATTCATCATAGTCAGTGCTTGCTGTAAATATATGGAATGTTATCATTTACCTTTCTTAGACACCAGACCAAAACAATTAAATTCAAAATATTCAGGCCTCAATATTTGCTTGGACAAATATTTAAATACTTTTTTTTTTTCCAGATTTCTTGCACATTTAGAGCAGCTAGACACATGAAAATATCTTAACACACTGAATATTTAGCACAATTTTCAGTGCCTGGAAAAAAGCTTCATCAAAAGGTGAGCATTTAAAAGCACTTGTAACTGGAACAGCAGCTTTTTATGGAACAGTGTGACCTTCTCAGGCATGTTTTGAGAAGATGACTCTTTTAATTGATTGTGAAAACAGATAATTGCATATTGAACTGTCCACTAACTATAAAATTACATTTCATCATTATATAAAATGGCAAACTTTAAACTGCTTCGTAATTGAGGGGGGTAAAATAGCTTAGAAAATGAGTGTATAATTTTCAGACTTAATTGAGCCTGCAAAGTCTGAATGCATTAGGATGAAAAATACACTGAAACTGATCTACATAGTATGAAATTATTTTACAGGATTGAAAGAACAGTGTAAACATGAGCACTGTCTTCACGCACAAGGTTAATGTAGGTTTTGGATGTTTAGCATCTAAGATATTTCTTCAGTATAAAGATTGTAAAGGGATGCATTTGTCATGTTTGTTGACAAGGGATGCGTTTATAGTGTTTGTTGATTTTATACCTTATTTTCAGTGTCTAAGGAAGTACACACTGCATTTATCTCTCTTGAACTGAGCTGTAAGATAACAATTAGCATTTTGAGGGATTAAGTGCAGACTGAGGAATTAGTTTATGGATGTAGCTACTTCTTTGATGTAGTACTGTTCACACATCATTCTCTTTCTGGGCACAGCAAGAACTGAGCAGCAGAGAAATGGTGCCTTTCTTTGAAAAGCCCAGGCTGGCTTCCAGAGGGATTCCACCAGGAGAGCTCCCTTGTTTGACCTTCTCCTGGGGCTCCCACCGCCCCTGAAATGACTCCTCACAGCTAACACCACCAAACTCACTCCCACCTGTAGCCAGCATCCTGCGACACTGCTCTGCCTCCGGCCTCGAGTGCTCTGCTTTTCTGGGTTATTGTTCTGACTGGTTCAGATGAGTTACTCCAAACATGAACTCAACAGCTTTTTTAAATATATATCTCAAGTGACAGGTGAATATTTCACACTCTTTACTTTAACAAAGTCTTGGACAATCTGTCACAACAATGCCTTAATAAATGTTGAATTAGTGACAGACATGTAGAAGCCAATTCATGTTAACCACACTTTTCAAACAGGACTGGTCAAAGCCTGTCAGAGCAATAACATTTTGAAAACATATCATTTAACATTTAACCATTCAACTAGTCATCATTAAGGCAGAACCATCAGCCACTTTGCAATGGGAAACTATAGGAAATCACTACAGAATGCCTCATCTGTATGGAGTAGAAAAAATTTATAACTTGACCATGGCCTCCTAAACATTTTCTGACACTGAAAAAAGGGCAGGCTGCTGTATGATCACCTGTGGCAAGGACTTCGGTGTCCTGCTTTGATACACAGGAGGTGACACAGTGTAAGGACAAGGCCTTGCTTTAGATAGATAACTGTGCTTTCCCACTGACAGAATTCAAATACTTGGCATGTTTCAAATGTTATGGCTTGGTCTCATCATTAGTTTTTTGCTGCTATTACGTATTAATTTATGAATTTACTTCTCTTTTTATATACTTAAGTAGTTCTGAGAAGAGTGAACCTCAAGGAACACACTCTACAGAGGTCAGCACAGAACCCAGTCCAACGCACATCAAAGGAAAAGAATTCTGAATGCTTTGGCCCCATCTCTAAAAAAAGGTTTCAGATCTCTGACAGGCATTAGTATTCAATTCACATTTCATGTTCAAACCTGCACTTTGAAAATTTGTCCCAACTTTGCCACAGACTTCAGTAGCCCAGATCTGGGCACTGTTGACCAGATAGAGTGGACTCAAATGTGACAGCATGTCTGGATTACAGAATGGTCTGCCCCATGTGCCACACACACTGATGAAGTACAAGGTATCCACTCCATGCTTTAGTGATCCTTTACCACAAAACCTGTCCCAAGCATGGAAAATGCTTCATTTAGAACTTGAATCCACAAGTCATTTAACAGCAGTGTGAGACAGAAATCATCATCAATTAGTAATGCTACTCCCTGAACTACAGATGCCCTACCTGTCAGTGAAAATCTTCTTATGAAGTATACATAATCATTTGTGGTACTAGATTTTACGTGCGGGATTGACTGTTTTAAAATGCTTATTGTAAATATTTTATATTGCTCTCAACGTGATAACACAGTGACAGGGAATGCTAGGCATGCAGGATGCCCTGGAGGGGAGAAAATAAATGACAGCTCTCACCCTAGTGCTACCCTTTGAAGGGACCCTACTTAGCCAGATAATGCTATGGGACAATTGTGGTTAAACCCCAAGAGAGTTTTTGGAGTGTCATCCACAGGAGCCTTGATGAGTGCAGAAGTAATTAGTTCCAGATGAGCACACAGGCACATAACCTTAGAAAGGTCTGGCTGCTTTTATGTTAGGAGAGAAAAGCCATTTCTGCCTAGCAGCCAGGACAACATGCTCTGGAAAGAGGAGAAGGACCTTCTTCATTGGTTTGGTGTCCAGCTATGTGTGTGTTTCGGAGCTGAAGGATGGAATCCTCTCACTGCCTGTGAAAATTATGGGTTTGTGTTTGCTGGATAGCTGAAAAATTCCCGTGAAATACCATGCAGAAGTTTCGCTGTTTTACAGGGCAGTCCTCTGAGGTTGCTGCTTAGCAGCCCAAGACCTGGCTTTCCTACAGGTGTTCACAGTGTGCCAGACAGTTCCCAGGAGCACGCATAAAGCTCTCTTGGGAGGCTTTCCTAAAACGTCTAATCTAAACACCAGTATTGCTGCACTTTTATGTATATCTTTGTGTGTTCTGGCACCTGATAAAAACTCCATTATTTTCAATGAGCGAGTGTCACCTGGTGATACCTCAGCTTCCTCTGAGGAGGTGCTTTTGCAGAGTTCATCCTTAGGTTATATATGAGCTTTTTTCTTCACCACCACCCCCCACCAAAACTCCAGGAAAGACATCTGAAAAACACTCTTGTACATCTCGTTTGGACTTCTTCCCACTACACAAGGTACTAGCTGAAGCCCAGCTGTTCTCGGAGAAGTGACGGCTCAGCAGCTGAACTCCTGTTGTGCACAGGACAGTAAAAGCACCAAAAACAAATGCCAAGTATTACTGATGGAGCAGCTACAGGTTCATTGTTAAAAGGACCACTACTGACTACTAAATGCCATCAGACGGTTAAGGACAGCCAGTTGTGGTTTAATGGCTCCTCTTAGGATCCTGGGAAAGTAACTTGTAAAAAGCTGTCAGAGGCCCACTACATTGCTTTGTTTTTAACTAGCCACAAAGGCATTTAACTGAGCACGCCAGAGAGTGGGCTCTCTCATACAAATGGTTCTGGCTGAGCAAGACACACTTGCTGCAGTCTCTCTAATGGAGAAAATAATTCCATCCACTTGGCTGCTTGGCCCTTGGCAGGTTACATACACAGGTACATTTTCTGCAGTCACAGTGGGGTGCTGCAGTTTATCACAACCTTCTAGAAACTTTATATATCCATAGTCACTGTACACAGGTTATCCAGTGATAACCACCTTAATCACTATTGCTGACCTGAGATTCAAATGTGTGGTGAAATGGCAGTGCTTTCTGGATCAGCCATTGATCCTCAGTGGAAGGATTTACTTTTTTAATATTTAAATTTAGTGCCTGTTTTTAAGAAATTTACTAAGCACTGTGATGATTCTGCAATATAGAGTCAACCAAGACTGTTTCTTGCATACTATAAACTCACATTTTAACTATAATTAAGCTGCAAATTTTGCCATGTTTAATGGCATTGTGGATAGTGTGTGAAAGACAATGTTTTTTAAAGAAATTTTTTGGCTCCTGCTTATACCTACTCTGATTGGGATAATGATGGAAGAAATACTCCGTTCTGTGCTCACAGATCCATTCATTCAAGCATACCACAGAAGACAGAAGCAGTACTTCTTTCTGATGCTAATGGAACAGTCCATCAAACCTTGCTTTCCAGCTGGTTTTGGTAGACTATGAAAAAGGATGCTCACTGCTGCAGATCTGATGACACTGACATGCTTCCCTACCACAAACCTTCCTACTGTGTTGAACAGTTTAAATTAAACCTTCATCCATGGCTTCCCAAGTGCAAGGGAAGCCATCAGTGTACTCACTGAACGGGCTGTCACGTGCTTTAGTGGCAGGAACCAAAGCAGCACTGTACATAGCACAGACCAAGTTAATGTTCAATGGACAGGCCCCAGCTACCACTTTACCCCAGCGCTGGCCTAACCTGCCACTTCTGGGTGAGCCAGCATCCATCTTTCCTGGACTTGCAGTGCTGCTTTGAGAGCACAAATCACTCCCTATCTACTCCTACGCCTCTGTCAAGCTGAATAATTCACTGACTACTGAAAAGGCAACCACTGTTTTTTCCCCTTCCTTTATTTCTTTTCCTCAGAGTGCCTAAATCAGGCCTGACAAGAAAAAGACTGTATAATCTTGGTCACACGCAGTCAATTTTATACTCTGGGTAAAGCACAAAACCATGTCCTTGCACACGCTGCTCATTGGAAAGCACAGCCTGAATGCAGAGTCCTTTCCAACCTGGGAATTCTGGGAATCACTGCTGGGATGGGAGATGGTACCTGCTGACACCTTCCCATAGGAGAGGGTGGTGAGAGAACATATCAATGCAGTGGACTCAAAAGCCCTCCCCTCAAATGCTCAGATGGCTCCTATCAAGTTGACACTAGGTGAGCACCTGTATCCAAGTCCTCCATTTGGCTCAAAAGCAGAAGACATTTCTTGGGAAGTAAGTACAGAGTGTTTGTGTCAAACAGGTGCTTTGGTGCCCTCTTCTCATCACTTGTATGCTCATGAAAATCTCTAAAATATGTATGCTAATTTCTTCACCTCCCAAGCAACACATCAAAGCCATTTTTCATACACACAGTTTTAGCTAAGACTACCATGTTTTTAAGTCATTAAAATGTAACTGCACTTGTTCTCATCTAGCTACAGCAGCTTAAAAACACAGGGTGCTTATTTCAAACTACACCGAGAGTAACAAATAATGAACAAATAGCTATTGCTGTGTATGAAAAATGCATCACTTCTGTTCAGAAAGGAATTCTAAAGAAGAGCCTAGAAACAACCTGATTCTTATTCATATTTACAGTTGTGCCTCTAAGATTATTTAAATAATGTCTTCATTCCCACTATTCATAATGTTTTGGAACATAGTGTGCTGCAGGCCAAAACACTGAACTTAGAACATATGTTAATGTGAATGACATTTCACCTGAGTGACAAGAGGAGTTCCTGAGACTTTGGGAGCCAGCCAGCCAGCACACTGCACTGAACTGCACAGGCATATGAGGAGTATTTTCTGTATTATTTGTGTGCAAGAGGTAGAAATTCAGTGAGGAAAAAAATCTTCCAATATTATCTACTTTTTTAGTTTCTCAGTATTAGCCCTTTTAATCAGCTCTATTCTTGTCTATTTTGTAATATCCAAACTTACAAAAGAAAAAAAAGAAAGAGGGAAATATAAGACATATCTAATCAAAATAATTAAAAAGCAGTGTATTTTTGCTTAGATTTGGACACTTACCTATAAGCAGGATTACTAATATGTCTGTAATGTAATAACCGAGCAGCAAAGGCTTCTGCCAGACTTCCACACCAACAGCACTGGTAAGCAGATATGCTGCTATTAATACCTATAGAAGAGGTATTAATAAATAAAAATAAATAAAAATAAATAAAAGATAACATATTGTCAGTCCTCTACTTCTAAAGGCACAGGATTTCAATTATCATCTTGATACAAATGCAAAAGCAAAAAAATTATGCAGAATTATTTTAAATGTATGAAATATGGTAAGCAAGCAACTTCCCTGCTGATTGCATTTGTTCTGCATGTAGTTGCATCTGTTTGCATGTGGCAAGTATTACTGACTTACCTTTTCAAAATAACTAAGTTCTAAATCCCTTCTAAACACCACGTCTCCCCACTGCACATGCACTTTCTTGGTTCTGGATACAGAATTCAGAATTAGCAACAGGGTTAGTTTTGCCGCTCAGCCCCCTGAACTGATCACAGTCAGATGTCATTAGGAGTGAAAGGACGCGTACATGAGACTCACAGTTCACTTGCTGAAGTGCCACCAGTTTCAGGAGAGATGTAAATGCAGTTTCTGCTCTCTCTTCAGAGTTAATTTTGTGACCCAGATGAGGTTAGAAATCTTAATGCAGCCCAAACCCTATAGCTCCCACACCAATACTTCTCACATGCACTCTACTTACTACCTGTGGCAGCACCACCTACAGCTCATGGCACAAACTGATAAAGTTTTACCACTTCAGATGTATAATATGCTAATACAGCACTGTGTGTGATGCAGTGGTTCCCAAACCCTTGTGCTCTTGATCCCACCTCCGCAAGGGACCCCATTTTCCCTTGAAACCCATTTCCTTGTTTGTCCCAGGCCACCCACCCCCTGCAGCCCCTTCTGCTGCCAGCACCCAGCTAACGGGACTGCTGCCCTGCTCTTTCTCTAGGCTCTTTTGTTCTTAGCTGTTCCGTTTTCCCATAGGGCCCATAAGAGGCTGTATGTTCCATGCTACACTTCAGCTCTAAATTAAAATGACAATGTTAATTATAATGCCATTTAGAAAACTGCATATTCATCTATTTATTCCTGGCTAACATTTAGCAACCTTTATATTTTCCATTCAATACAGCCTCTTACTCTGGGATGACAAATGTTTTTCAGCTTTGTTTGTATTATAGATTTTAGTATGTATTATTTAGTTTTTTAAACACTCATTTTTCACTATGTTGTGTGTTTTCTTCATTTTAATTTCAACCAACACATTTAATTTTATTAAATTAAACGCTTTAACTGTAAGATACACTGAAAATCTCTTTTTTAAATAACAGGCTGCTTAGGATCACAGATTAATAGCAGAACACTGAAGGCACTTAAACTCCCTATTACATGTGGATAATACTATATTTGACTTCACTTACTTCTCTGTAACTAAATTCAAGATTCTTGCTCTATCAGGATGTAGCTCTTTAAGAGTTTTTGCTTGGGTGTGACACTGCAGAACTGGATGTTTGAATTTGCCTGTGCAAGAACAAGCAGCACAACAGATTTGCAACAGAGAAGAGGAGACACTAGGCAGTGTTACATCTTGAGCCACTGAAGACAGTGACTTAAATTTTGGTCTAAATGAAGGACATGTACAATGCGTTTTGCAATCCACTGCATCAGAGCTAACATTTGGTTTTCTGAAAAAATTGTATTATATTATCCATAAGACATGATGGATGGAATCATGACCCCATCAGAGTTGATGGCAAAACTCCAACCGGCTTTGATGGAGACTGAATTTACCCTCACACGTTGAATCCTGAACAGACTTTTTTGGCATGTGATAAAAGAGGAACATCAGTATTATCCGTTATTACAGTCAGTACTTTTGGCAGGGCAGCCATGAGCATCACTGTCAGATGTCAGCACACATCCAGGAACAGGAGTGCGGATGCAGTGAGCTCTCTCAGGGAATGCCCTGCCCTGGGATTTGGTGATGCAGCACTCAGATTGAGTTTGCCTCTTATTTAACAGATGTAATGTATGAAAAAAACACTCTTTGGCTTCAAATTTGTGGTGTGTTGCTTTTTCAGGACTCGTCACTTTGACTTCACTGAGGCAGTCTCAAAGTCCTCCTTTAGAAAGCTGTGTCCCTTAATCTAAGATATATTAGCAAAAAATTAAGATTGTCGAAATGATTGGCTAAAGCTAAGTATGTTAATCAGCTGTATAAAAACTGCTTTTAAAGGCACTGTTGGTAAAAAAATAAATAAATAAAAATCAGTGTAAAGCATGTCCCTAAGCGCAACTGAATAATTCTACTTTAAGAAAAGATGACCAAGTTTTTTACTTATCTCTCAGCCATCGATCAGCTTTAGTACTTTTCAGATATAAATATAGTCATGCAGTCTTTTGTAAATTGAGAAGTCCAAATTAAATAACACAAGTGAGGGCTATATGGCAAAGTAGTGCCAGACATATACAATCTTGGATTTCAACTCACTGCAGCGTCTGACCAGCCATTTTTGGCTTGCCAAGGCCTTATCTATGAGGACAAGGAGTACTTATGCTGAGAAAATTCTGGAAATACAAGGTGTTATTTTGTAGGCCCTTTGACATGGCTAAAAGCAGGACAGGTGGCTTCTGAGCAGACTCCCTATCTTGTCACAATTTTATAATTCACAGCAACATAGTCACTTTTGGTCCTCTGTAAAATCAGAGTAGTTCTTTGATGTTGCATTGGGAAAATTCTATATAATCATAAGGCATTATAACCCCTCAAAGTCTTCTAATTTCTAGTCTTTTAACTGTTCTCTAAAATATTTAATTTTTTTAATCACCATCTCTAGCATGTCTTTCCAATACTGCAGGTGTAAGTTTTGTGGCCACAATATTCTAGACTCTGTGTGTACATACAATTTTTTTTCTCCTACGTGCTTTACAATTTCTGTTTTACACACAGGCACATTTAGTATGCTGTGTGATATTCTAAACAGTGGGGAAAAAAAATCAAGCATTTTCTCATATTTTTTAAAAAATGTGGATATGCTTTTAAATTCTTCATGATTTCACAAAAAACTTGACATTAATTTTACGGTAATATTCAGTTTCACTAGCATATTGCTATAGCATTAATTGTTCATGTGTTGAAATATTTTCCATTAACACAGGGCTCAAACTGAACATCTTGAAAGCAAAGACATTTAACATACAAAGTTACTTTCTCTTCTGAAAATAAATGTGACACTTGCCTAAAAGAGCCAGAATTATTTCCTGCAAGTGTTTTCAATAGTACTTAGTTTTAACATGATGTCCAATTTATCCATTTTAATTTTTTCTCAGCCTTTTTTCTTTCAATAAGTAGTTGAAGGTTGCAAATTTAGCCTGTAAAAAGTTTTTCCTAAAAAGATCACTTTGCATTTAGACATGATAGGTAACCAGCTAAAGGCACATGGGAGATTAATTAACCAAGAAAGGTTTGCACAGAATCATAATCAAGTGGTTTAGAATGAAGCAATCATCTGCTGCAGAAAGAGCCTGTGCACAGCAGCCTCTTATGTTTAAATTTCACATGGCTACACCATGGGGCTTCCCTTTAGATAACTGAGGATTGAGATCAGTTTCCAGCCATGTCTGGAAGCAGCTTGAAGCAGACACCATGGTCTGGCCAGAACTGCTTCCACGCTGCTATCTGTTCTGCCACTTCCACAACTCCAGTGTGCTCCTGCATTTGGAACTAAATAATAATAATATTTAATCACAAGAAAGACTATGCTTTCCACAGACACATCAAATTAGAAAAACTGGAAGTGAATATCTTTTTAACTATAATTAAATGGTGAATCCTAGTAACGTGACCAAAGAACAAGACATTTGCATCTTTATTTTGCTTTTTAATAGACAACTTTGTTTGCCCCTCAGAAAAGCTAAAAATTTTTTCAAGGTGTGATGTGCACTTGCATTGCTTGAGATTTCTCTGTCAGTTCCTAAAAAGCTGGCAGAGATCAGCTTCCCAAGAATAGGTCACATGAAACATATTTCAGCATGAGTTTTGTAAAAAGCTTGTAAAAAAAAAACCCACACAAACCTGGTATATGGCATCCAAACAAAAAAAACCTTTCCCTGCTTTGACCCAAAGGAAGAAGGAAAGGAAGTTCTACACTGTTTCAGTTCCTGTCTGCATCATGGATTTCATTTATTCAGAGTTCCAAGGCAGGCCGAGCGTTCTCCCTGAGACTAGGTGGTACTGTCCAAAGTCCTCTGGCAGAAGCAGCTGTTAAAGCATCTTAAACCAAAAACCTGGGGCTCATGGTCCATGTACCCATCCCTTCAGGCATGACCTTATATATATAGGATTTCTGGTCATCCTCTCCTTACAGGACAAGGGCTGGGCCAGAGAGAGCTGCATGCTGCCTTTCACATTTTGCTGCTTGTGCTGCTTTTGAGCTTGGCCTCGTGGCTGGGGAGCAGGAGAGGAAGGAGAATGGAATCATCTGGGTCACTCCAGCTCTCACACAGCTCTTCTTTTCATTTTTAAACTTTTATTTAAGAATATAAAGGGTGCCTCCTGTTACACTTAAGGCAGCACCAATGGAAGAAGTTATCATTACATCATATTAAGAAAAAATGAGTATTTTGTTCCCCTACTATGAACTCAACTGCAGTGGCTTAGGAAAAGCAACAGCAGGATTAAGGGAGTATTTCATTAGGGGAATATTAAATTTTTCAGGAGGAAAATAGTTTGGGTTTTGGTTTTTTTTTTTTTTTTTTTTTTTTTTTTTTTTAAATCAGGAGGATGTCTGTGAAAATTAGCATATGGCAAGAAGGCTGAAGTTTTCATTTCCCAAGAAAGTTTTGCCTTTTTTTCCTCCAAGAAGTTAATTTGCAGATATTAGCTTTCTTTAGTTGGGTTTCTGACAAAAACAAAAGTCTTTGTCCTCTCAAGATGTATCCAAGAGAATTTCTCACAGATTATAGCAGAGATTTATTTTTCAGCCTTTTCTTCAGACCATAATTCTTGGGATTTCCAATAGGTGTGCTTACTCAAAAGTGTATGAGATATTGTCTAGAGTCTATGGTACAGAGGCTGCTCTCCCTGCATCTTTTTCTGCTCACTCAGGAGTCAGCACAAGATAGCTCTTTGTGCTGGAGAGAGGAGAGAGAGTAAGGGTTTTCCCTGGTGCAGATGCCTCCTCCTTGATTCTGGATCCAAAAATGTAACAGTCCTCTGACCAAGCATCTCTCAGACACACTACAGCCAGTTTTCAAGTTTACAAACCACAGCCTCCTGTAAATGGCTGTCTGCTGTAATCAAAGCTAATTGGAGTGCCAATTACAGCCCAGCTAGAGTAATTGGGTTACCAGTTGTGATGAGTCATCAAGTCACAGAAAAATGTGATCTGCGTAAGTCCCACAAATTTCTCTATTCATAATGAGGTACTTTTTCATGAGGAACAGCAGCTCTTTTTATACCACATGTAAGGCAGAGCATGTGAGCGAGCTGTCTGTGTTTATATAGAGTGGAGCTGACTCAGCAGCAGTGTCCTGGGAGCCACATGCCAGTTCAGTTTTCATTAAGGTCAACAGTTATCTATTTGCACACTTATACAACTACTTTTATTTCTTGAGTTTTGGGGTGATAATGAAGCCCGGAGTTCCTGGCTACCATCAAATTTAGAAGCAGAAGCAGGGGACTAGACCACCTGAGTGTCTGACATGCCAATGCAATAGCACCACATTGTCAGTGAAATTCATGAAGACAGAACAGAGAGGTGCATTCCTGCAGCAATCCAGCTAGGAATGCCATGGAGGAAATAGTGAACTAAGCACTGGGAATCAGTTTGAAAGCAGCCTGCGAGTGCTTCCACACTCTCTGCCTTTAAATATGACTGGGAATATCTGGCAGAGAAGCAGTGGGGAAAAGAAAAAGCAAGGGGAGCATTACCTTTCTTACTTATCACCAGCCATTTGCTATTGTCCCCAGTATCTTCTCCACCAAGCAACTGGAGATGAACCCTTTAAGAGTGCACACACCATACAAAATTTGCTGAATGCGTTTACAAATCAAGAGCAATTTTTTAGGGAAATTAGGACCTTTTACTGGACTAGTTAGGACAGCTGGGAAAAAAATACATTATGTACTTTCTGGTGTATGTGAAAAATGTAGTTTGGTCTAATAGAAAAATACTACCTTGATCCAAATTCTGTTTTGTCTTTGTTCACAAGGCAATCACAAGTACAAAAGCTATTTTTTACAGATGGGAAAACTGACATACAGAGATTTCAATAGTACAGTCTTCCACCACTGTTGATGACTGTGCTAAATAGCATAAAAAAAATCTGACAGTTAGAGGCTTATCACTTTGACCATAGCCAAATCATCACAGAAGTTACTAGAAAGCAAGTGTGCAGGACAGCAATCCAGCATCAGAGGGAAACAGGAAATAGCACTTGTTAGCACCTTGCATCCCAGTTAATCAAAGCAGTTTACAAACTTTACTGATATCCAGCCTCACCACAAATCTGTCAGGCAGGGAAATGTTATTGGCATTATTCCCCAGACAGGAGAGCAGTGCCAGGGGCATAGGTCACTACCAGCACTGACACAGTTAACAGAACTTCTCCTGTAGCTGATACCCATTCCCATATTTAAACACTAATAGGGTTCGGATGCTGGAGAAATCCAGCAGAGCTTTCTAAACATTCACATATACAACAATCATCTGACCAATAAGTGAAATTGGTTTGAACGCAGCTATTCCTCTCCTGCTGGAAGAACTTCAGCAAGAAGCCTCATACAGACAGGACTGAAACTTGCAGACCAGCTGGCTGCCTAATGTCTTCATCCTGAGCCAACTTCTTCTCCCAGAACCTATTTTCTAGGGGATGACACAGATGCACCACAGCTGGACCACCATCTCTGAGTTGTTCTCAAACCACTGGATGCTGATTATGTTTACAGCAATACATCTGCAGTCATTAATTCAAATACAATATTTCCATTAAAACACATATTTGAGTATTTGTCAAACTTCTTTTCAATTATGTATATTTGGCTGTACCTTTCATCTCATGCCTGTGACAGGAAGCTCAGAAGACTGTGACTCTGCTCTTCAGGCTGCAAGAGCTTGGCTATGTAAGAAACAGATAAGCCAGCCCAGAAATCCAGTGCTGGGCCCTTGGAAGTGCACCAAGCTTGTTACTACTGCTGCTCATTTGAGGACTGAGGACACCACTCACTGTGGTGGCCTGGGCATGTTTCTGAAGAGGTCCACCTCAAGGTAGGGCTGTAAGCCAGTCAAGAACTCAGCTGGGGCTGACTGTGGGCTGATACGTAATTCATGTTACTGAACGTCATTCCCTACGAGTTTTTGACATCCATTATATGACTTTGACATTTTTTTCAAGGGTAGAATTCACAGTTAATGCTTTCTGTATAGTTACAACGCTATTTCCATCACCACATTTGTTGTAAAACACAGTAAGATTGAGAAGGTCTAGCAGTGTATAACTGTGTAATTACTATTAGTAGATACTACGTGGACTAATTCACATCATGTCTCAGAACCCAGTGTTGGGGGGAAAACTGCTTATGGCTTCAGATAGCAAAATAACTTTTGTAAATACCACAAATCAAATGCAGTTAAATGACATTCTCACAGGCACTATCTGGCTGCTAGGCTTGCTGCAAGTCTTTTTTCTCCTGCAAGGCAGTGAATCTCTGATGATGACAATTTGCTCAAGAGCATCTCTTCATTGTAAATGCAGGCAATATTTCTGAATTACTTTTAGTTTTATGCAATTTCACATATTTCAATATCTCAGCCAAATATATTTGCCTCGAGCTCTATTTTTCTATTTCTTTAATATTATGAAAATAATGATACAGTTAAAAAAATAAAACCAAAACAGAAATGATAAATACTTACCACTTGGCTTATATCATATCCCCAAGGAAGAAAAAGAACTCCTGTGTTATATTTCTCCCAGTGTGAACACATGAAGTTAAACAAGACAATGCTTAAATATATATACATTGTATATACAGAAACTCCAGTCTTCCCATTATCACGGGAACAAACAGAAAAAAAGGAAAGCACAAAAATGGAGGTAGCCCAGCTATCCAGTCCATGGTCGAATAGTTCTCCCAGAGGAGTACTGGACTGAGTCCTTCGAGCATGTTTCCCATCTATGGAGTCTAGAAGGATGGAAAAGGAAAAGAAATGAAGATCTAGAGCACAACAAAAGGAGTAACTTTCTTCACATACACTGCACTACTGCCATATATAACATATAAGAAAATTACACTGATGACTGAAGCACAACAGCCTTCTCAATACCAACAGATTAGGACTGCTCACTAAATGCTTGCTTCAGTTATCAAGCAATTTTCTGTCCTTACCTCATCTCTGAAGCTATAATGCCACCTTTCTTATGAGCTTTAGAAAGACATCCGTTATTACTTGCCCCCACTGGGGGCAAAAGAAACACTTTTAATATCAGTCCCTGCAATCAGTTTTAAGTGCTGAAAAGTGTCCATAGGGCTTCTCACCCATCCATTGGTGCTGGGCACCCTCTGAGCCTTCCAACTGCTTGTGAGATAGACTGGGGACATAATTTAGTGGTGGACTTGGCAGTGTTGGGTTAATGGTTGGAGTTAGTGATCTTCAAGGCCTTTTGCAAAACGTATTATTATGTGAATCTAAAAATACATTATAGTTAAGGTGCACTACATGTTGATAGATCACTTTTAATACTTGAGTGCTTGGAAGATGGTCCAGTACTCTACTGGAGCTCACTCTGAAGATGCAGTTGGACAATATGGTTTGAGTTGATCTGATAATTCACTGCTATCAAAGAGGGGGACCTGCAGCCTGTTCAGATGGTGGAAAGAGAGTAAACATTATGTTTTCTTCTGGGTCACTAACAGATTTGGTATTATGAATGGTACAAAAAGCAAGGGAGGTAGCACAAGACCAGGGTGGTGAATGCAGACAGGAGGAAGAGGTCTAGTGCCTGTAACCTTTTCTTAGTTGTATTGTCAAACCATACTCTTAGCCCCTTCTCTGAGGCTGTGCTGCTGAAAAATATTTTCCTCCTAAAGTTCAGTGTAAAGATGCAGAATGAATCTCTTAGGAAAAAGTACACAGAACAAACCTTACAGATTACTTATCGTTGTCTTGAATCTCAAAATAAAATGGTGAGGTTTTTTTTTTTCCTCAATGTTACTTGGAAGGTAAAGCAGTTATTAGCTATTGATAGCATTAATAATGCAAAACTGACTAGAGATACGACTCAGTAGAGTGAGACCAAAGACTCCACAGCTGCTATAGATCATATGCTACTTACTTCTCCAGATTATTTGGCAATACTCTGAGTTTTGTTTAATGTAAATATACTTCAGGGACCTAAACTGGGAAAACATGGGATTTCATTTTGTACAGATTTCAGACTGTCTCTCTATTGTAATACCTAAACAGCTGTGAGACATCCTCCACTCAAATACAAATCTCTTGAGACAGTTCTCACAACTCTAAAATTAAATATCTCATAGAGGATTTCAAATATAGCTTGCCCCTTACTAGAGACTCTTCCTCTATTAACATTACCAATGAATTTTCAACATCTTACTGAAATGTGCAGAAAGAAAACTATTTATAAGCTTGAGGTTAAACGAATGGTGTTACTATAACTGTAGAAATTCTTCCATCCAGTAAAGAATATTTCCAAAACTTAACTAGCAAATAAGTATGTAACCAACCCTAAACAGTTTATGGCCTTTCATACTTCAAGAATACCTATCCAAAATAAGAGAGAATTCAGTTACATGGGTAATACTTTTGAAAATGAGAACATTACAAGATTTTTCTGTTCATAAATTAAGTTGTCATAAAAGTGACATTAGATAGTAAAATATGTATATCACAGTGAAAAAGTGGTTTTCATTTTGCAAGAACTTTAGTTTTATTAAAATGAGACTTACAATAGTGTCATAAAATACAGTGTTACTAATTATAATGGGCATGGATAAAAATACAGGAACTATATGACACATACATAAAATCAGATATTCAAAAATCTTCAACTACATTTTCCTTGTAGTTTTATTACCTTTTTAAGAAACTTAAAATACTTTCTGTTTTAAGTTTCAGTTTAAAATCGTTCATGCCAACAATGGTGTGTATTCAATAGTAGACATACGTTGTCCCACACTTCCATTGCTTTAGAATTCTTATATTACCATTTTGTCTCATAAAGGTTCATAAACATTCAGTTTTATTAAATTTTATATAACTTTCAGAGAGTGGAATTTAAAATAACAGCAAATAGTAGTCCATTTTATGGAAAGGGAAAGATACCAAACCACCTTAAAAAAGGGGGCAGTGGGGAAGAGCAGCATTTGGAGAGAGTAACTGTGTCATTAAAAAGAAGCTGAGAGAGATTACAGCTGCATATTTGGTTAGTTATTATGGCTCTTTGCAGTCTTCCAAAGGGAAAACTTTGGCCATGAAGAATTAAATCTGAGACTAAATATTTCGTGAAGTGGCTTGGACAGCAGACATAAAAATCTACATATACATTAGTTCATTATAGCTTTGACTGTCAAACATCATATTCCTTGCCTTCCAAGTATTGGGAAGTACAGGCCTCACTGGCAAATACCATCTACATTAAGAATCTCGGAAGCTGAACTTCCAGTGAGCTTTCTGGGGTGTCATGCAGTAACAACTCCAATACGTAATTCCTATTTATGAAACAGTAGCCACTTCATTAAATTATATACAATGACATAAAAACTGTTTTCACAAAAGAAACTGCTGCTTCTGATAATTATTATAGAGAGCTAGGGAAATCCTGACTAGTAGTCAGCTCCGAGGTACAGCTGTCCCATTGCATTTTATGGCACAAATAGAAAGAAATTCTGGAAAAAATAATGTTGGTACGATCTCACCAATTTAATAGAAATGCCAAGGCATTTACAATGCAGAGGAAGATTTCTGCACAAGGGAATACTCCCAGATCAATCAAAATGGCTCTATACACATGTGTCTGACTCCAAAAGTGGTCAGCACAGCACTGCAGAGTACATCTATAGCACATCTGTATGTAGCCTGAGTGTCTCAATATGGCACATAAATGTATGGCTACGCTCTGCAATGGCCTTACAAGAAACAGCTCCAAGGAGAGTGTACATTTAGAATCATAGAGCAGAATCATTAACGTTGGAAAAGAACTCCAGGACCATCAAGTCAACTTCTGACCAAACACTACGAGGTCAACTAAACCACTACAGCACTATATGCCGCATCCAGGAATTTCTTGAACACTTCCAGGGATGGTTGGTTACTCCACCGCCTCCCTGGGCAATCCATTCCAACACTTAACAATCCTTTCAGGGAAAAATTTCTTCTAATGTCCAATCTGAACCTCTCCTGGTGCAGCTTGAGACAATTTCCTCTTGTCCTGTCACTGGTTGCCTGGGAGAAGAGCCCCCACCTGCTCTTCAGGGAGTTGTAGAGCCTGAGGCTCCTCTTCTCCACATTAAATAATCCCACAGCTCCCTCAGCCACTCCTCACAGGACTTGTGCTCCAGCTCTGTTGCCCTTGTCTGGACTCCAGCATCTTAATGTCTTTCTTTTAGTGAGGGGCCCACAGCTGGACACAGTACTCAGAGGTGCAGCCTCACCAGTGCGGAGTACAGGGAGAAAATCACCTCCCTGATCCTGCTGGCCACCCTGTTGCTGATACAGCCCAGATGCCATGGTCATCTTGGCCACCTGGGCACGCTGCTGGCTCATGTTCAGCTGCTGCCGACCAGCACCCCAAGGTCCTTTTCCGCCAGGCAGCTTTCCAGCCGCTTTTCCCCAGGCCTGTAGTGCTGTGTGGGGTTGCTGTGACCCAAGTGCATGACCCCAGCACTTGGCCTTGTTGAACCTCATGCCACTGCCGTCGACCCATTGATCCAGCCTGTCCAGATCCCTCTGTAGAGCCTTCCTGCCCTCCAGCAGATCAACACTCCTACCCAACTTGATGTCATCTGCAAACTGACTGAGGTTGAGAACTTGATCCCCTCATCCAGATTCTGGATAAAGACATTAAACAAGACTGGCCCCAATACTGAGCCCTGGGGAACACCACTGGTGACTGGCTCCCAACTGGATGTAACTCCATTCACCATCACTCCCTGGGCTCAGCCATCCGGACAGTTTTTAACCCAATGAGGAGCGCACCTGTCCAGGCCACAGGGTGCCAGCTTCTCCAGAAAATGTTGTGGGAGCCAATATCAAAGGCTTTACTGAATTCCAGGTAGACAACATCCTCAGCCTTTCCCAAATCCACTAGGCTGGTCATCTGGTCACAAAAGGAGACCAGCTTGGTCAAGTAGGACTTGCCCTTCCTAAATCCATGGTGGCTGGGCCTGAGCGCCTGGTTGTCCTGTAAGTGTTAAGAGATGGCACTAAGATGATCTGCTCCATGATCTTCCCTGGCTCTGAGGACAGACTGGCAGACCTACAGTTTGCCAGATCCTCCTTCCAACACTTCTTGCAGATGGGCACCACACTGGCTCACCACCATTTTTCCAGGACCTTCCTGATTTATCATGATAAATGATGGAGAGTGGCTTGGTGAGCTCTTCCACTGGCTCCCTCAGTACCCTCGGGTGAATCCCATCCTACCCCATAGACTTCTGAGTCTCTAATGGCACAGCAGGTCACTAGCTACTTCCTCCTGGATTTCAGGGGGTCTACTCTGCTCCTCATCCCTGTCTACCAGCTCAGGGGACTGGCTGCCCTGAGGATAACTGGTCTTTCTGTTAAAGATTGAGGCAAAGAAGGCATTAAGTACCTCAGCCTTTTCCTCACCCTTGGTTATAGTATTTCCCTTCACATCCAATGAAAGATGGAGATTTTCCTTGGCCCTGCTTTTGTTATTAATGTATTTATAAAAACATTTTCTATTATCTCTCACAGCTATGGCCACACTGAGTTCTAGCTGAGCTTTCGCCTTTCTAATCTCTCTAAATGACCTAATGACATCCTTGTACTCTTCCTGAGTTGCCTGCCCCTTCTTCCCAAGGTCATAAACTTTATTTTTTTCCTCTGAGTTCCAGAAAAAGCTCCCTTTTCAACCAGGCCAGTCTTCTTACCCAACAGCTCATCTTTCAGCACATAGGGATGGTTTGCTGCTGTACCTTTAAGATTTCCTTCTTAACTGTGCAGTCCACGTAAATATACTACCTTGAGGTCCCCCAAAAATTAACTCTGTTGCACCACATTGTGGAGAGACTAGCTCACAATGAGATAGCTTTGGAAGAGAAAGAAAAAATGTCATGCTATTGTGGATCTCACTCCCAGATCTGCATCAGTTCAGGTTTATGCCTTCACACCACTGCACAGCAAGGTGCAATATGCCTAAAAATACAGTCATGGCATGGTACAAAATAGTAAAAATGGAATATGAAACTGAGGTGTAGGTGCTACAGGAGAAAAACAGGAAGAGGAAAGACAAAAATCATATTTCATCACCATAAGAAGCTCAGCCCTGTCATCACATCTGTCATCACCATTTCTCCTGACACACGCCATAAGCACTGAAGCACCTAACAGTTTCCTTTTTCTCTCTTTTGCCCTTTATCTTCATTTGTCTCTGAAAGCACCCTCTGCTAATGCTGGTGTCAAGGAGCTTCTCAGAATGTCAACGTCATGTAACAAAGACTTTTATGAAATCAAAGGGCAATGACTCTTCTATGAAGACAGGCTGAGAGACTTGGGGTTGTTCAGCCTTGGGAAGAGAAAGCTCCCAGGAGACCTCAGAGCAGCCTCCCAGTACCTAAAGGGAGTCCTACAAGAGAGCTGGAGTGGGATTTTTTACATGGGAATGGAGCAACAGGGCAAAGGCAAATGGGTTCAAACAGAAAGAGAGTAGGTTTAGACTAAATATTATGAAGAAATTCTTTACGGTGAAGGTGATTAGACACTGGATCAGATTGCCCAGAGCAGCTGTGGATGTCCCATGCCTGGAAGTGTTTATAGTCAGGTTGGATGGGGCTTTGAGCAACCTAGTGGAAGATGTCCCTGCCCACAGCAGGGGGAAAGGAACTAGATGGTCTTTAAGGTCCCTTCCAATCCCAACCATTCTATACTCCTTTGACTGCTGCTATATAATGATTTCCATTGTTTCTCTAAAATAATTTGAACTTTAAAGAGGGATAACAGCCTCATCATCACAGAACCTCTAATATATAACTTCACATGCTGTTTGGAATTTTCTTCAGTCTTATAAATTTTGTGTTTGTTTGGTTGTTTGGTTGTGTTTTTTTCATCTAAGAGAACTGTTTTGGAAAGAGATCAGTAATTTATCCACAACGCCTCTTCATCTCAGAATCCACATTCATGAATCTGAAGATAAAACTACACAAAGACGTAAGATGTGTAAATTATTTCACTGTACTTTACCTAAAGCATAAGCACAAAAGGTGGTAAAAGCACTGAACAGCCACACCCAGGTGGGAACAAGTCCAGGACTGCTACCTGAAATAAATGGGGTAGTAAGTCAGTGTAACAGTGGTTAACATCAAAGAAATCCACCAACATACGCATATATATAAAAGCAACCTGCCACTGATTAACCTACTGCATCAAACAGATTGAAGTACTTGGTTTTGACCTTCAGGTATCAGTGAGCTCTATCAAAGATGTATTGGAGCAGGTTCAAATGTGTTTACACTGTAGAGGACAGAAGATAAGGATTTTTGGTCCTGAAATTACTCTATTATTGCACAAAACAATGGCAGTAACTAGGTAGAAATTTTCACAGGTCACAGGAAGACTATCCATTGACAAATTAGTTAATGTTTATGTAATATCTGGAAACAAAAAAAGGGTAGTTTTCAAGCATGATTATTAGTGCCAACCTGGGGTTTGTGTAGTAATTTTACTGTACAGATCTGAACAGGAAGTTTTTGTCCTCAAGCTAGAAAAAATATTAGCATCCATTTTTTTCCCTTGAGAAAACAGAAAAGAAAGTTGAATTGGACAGAGCCCAGGGTTCTGTTCATGCTCTATTGATAGCATTAACCCAAGGTTATTGTTGCTCTTTCAAAGAAATCAATCCTTTTTCCAGAGACTGTTCTATTTAACTTAAACATCACTCAGTAAGCACTACACCAGCACTACACAACTGTAAATGCCTCTCAGATTTCTGGCATTTGGCACCAAACACAGGGAATTCCTGCATACAGAGGTGTGTCCTTGCTTGAATGATGCCAGGAATTGCTAGCACATAAAACATGCCCTGACTACCTTTCACAATGCCTCACTTTGCCATTCTGAAAGAAAAGATGGCAATTCCTGACACCTAGCTGCAAATCTGCAAACTGTAGAATGAAAACCAGCTGTCCAGGAAATTAAGTCTTTTATTTCTGATCCTAGGTATGGGATTGATATATGATATTCAAAAGGCTTGTTAGGTTGCATGAATGTTTTCAATCAATTGAGAAATGATGGGCACTGTTCTCACGTGAAATCGAGAAGAGGGTTGCAAACTACACTTACAGGCCTCAACTCCAACAGACTTAATCACCATTTCAAATATCTTCAAGTTCCATGTGTATCTACCGGGAATTTGTCAAGATAACATCATCCCATTAAAAGGATTTGTTCTGGATGCTCTTTTATTACAGAATTTAATATTAGCTGCATTGATAAAAAAAAAACACCCAAGTGTTTAAGAATGAGGCCATACAATATATAACAAGCTGGCCCTGAAAACGTAATATTCATGCAGGATTACTTTTGAACCAAAACTGCAAACAAGTATCCCTGCCTCTAGAATTGTTACCATAAATGTACAAACAGCCCACACCAAAGGGTAACTCCTGAATCTAAACACAGTAATAAAAAAATTAAAGACAGCTAAACGTAGTTGTTTCAGGAAATAAAAGTGTTGCCTTCACTAAATTGTCTAATTTAAAGAAAACCAAAGCTTTTTATGTATTTTTTTATATTTATATGTTTTATATATTATTCACCTTACAGAAGATGCTTCTGTAGGCTCCAACAGCTGCTCCGAGAAGCCCAGAACTAAACCTGCCCTACACTCAAGAGCAATCAGTTCCAAAAATCTTCTGACTTGGTCTACCATGAAGAGCAAATATGGAATCAGACTTAAAGAGCCACAATTTGAAGCGACATTTATTTAGAAACTATGTCTTCTTTGTCTAGAAGCAGTTTTGAATAGGGGGCGTGTGTATAGTAATGAAAGAGAAATTAACTCGTTCAGGCATCAATTTAGGTATTAGGAAATGTGAAACCAATGAAAACTTCATGAAGAACATTCGGGTGTTTTGTGTCTGTGCATTTAAATTGTGGAATAAACTTTAGATAAAATGAGATATCACAGACTGCAAGCAGCATATGCTGAAACATATTTTAGGGATAAAATTAAATACTATTTTTCAATGAAATGTTCTTAATTTTTAATGCCATATGTGAGGTCAGATCCTCCTATTGTGCTCATGGAGTGTCATGAAGGGAATGAGTGGAAGATTCAAGTGTCTGATCCCTCCCTATAACATTCAGAAATATAAGCAGCTCACTAATTCTGAAAAATTACAACATGAGGATTTTTACCTGAGGCAGTGTAGTCCCAGTCATAGAAAGATATTAGAAAATAATTAAATAAAATCATGACAAATCCAGAGAATGTTAACAGGTTGGGAGCAATCCACAAAGGCACTATCTGTTAAAAAAGAAAGAAAAAAATTTCAGAAAAACTGTACATCCTATTTTAAGTAAATATTTTATATCAGGAAAGAAGCATTTATAGGCATCAGCAATGTTCAGATTTGTGCATATTTCACCATTTTCAAAATAAAATACCATTTTCATTTCTGAAATTTATTTTCAAATGCATTCCTTTTGCCGGATCTTTGTGACTTCAGTAAGAATGACATTTTAAAACATTGTATTCCCTACACCGTACATTATCCTTTATTTACCCAGTCATCAAGGAAAGCTTCCTGTATTAGAACTGAAAGAAGACTGCAGCACCCCAGTGTGGTAATTCAGCATCCACGTGGTAGGTTTTTTTCAGCATTCTATTCCCATGCTATAAAAAGGAAATTTCCTCTTCTAAAATATGTCAATAATTTCTAACTCACAACATCAACAAAATCATACCCCAAGTGCATTACACTTTTAGATTCAGAAGATCTCTGTTACAAGCAGCTTCCTACTTCTCTAGATAGTAACATACTTCTAGGGTCTTCCTCTTTATTTATAAATTATAAACACTCCATTAATTCATTTTACTTTGCAGGGTGCTGAGAAGGACTCTGTCTTCACCTAAACCTCTAATTCTTTGTCCCAGTAACCACTCTCAGCTATTCACACCCTGCAGCTCTAAGGTGCTCCTTACACTGCAACAGGGATCCCTTCTGGTAACACTCTTCCCAAGTAACACAGTTTCTCCAGCACATTTTTTCTGAAATAGCATACACAGCTTTCTACATGGTTTTTAGACAGAACATACTTGCAGAAATACTTAGTGTCAAATAGCATCACTCAAACACATTATCAATATATTTTAAAATACAAAAATACTGGAGTCTTATAATCAAATTATTTGGAGTGCCTAAGGACTGAAAATATATCTAAAGTACTTTAACATTAAATATTACAAGACAATACTACAGAAAAGGAAGTTAGATACTAATGACAGTTTTGAAATAAAATGATTTGTTAGTTTTTATGGACTAGCTAGATGGACAGACAGGTGAATACATGGGAATTTGTACACATCTTTACATTTCCTCTATCCTATTACTGCATGAAAAATTTACTTTTAAAATTTGAATGCTTGAACTGATTAATTATTCTGACTAGATCCTCTTTTCCTACTATAGAACAATTTATAATATTCAGGAGGAATTGTGCAACTGATAGTGTATAGTCTAAACTTAAAAAAAAATCAGATTAAAATTCCTGAATACTCTCTACAACTACCTGAGAGGAGGCTGTAGCCAGGTGGGGGTCGGTCTCTTCTCCCAGGCAATCAGTAGCAGGACAAGAGGGCACGAGCTTAAGCTCTGCCAGGGGAGGTTTAGGCTGGATATTAGAAAGAAGTTCTTTACAGAGAGAGTGATCAGGCATTGGAATGGCCTGCCCAGAGAGGTGGTGGATTTACTGTCCCTGGAGGGGGGATGTGGTACTGAGTGCCATGATCTCGTAATCACAGAGGGGTTGGATCAAGGGTTGGACTTGATGATCTCAGAGGTCTCTTCCAACCCAATTAATTCTATGATTCTATGATTCTATGAATATTTTTCTGTTATGTTTCTTAGATTTTTTTCTGTAATAGCATTAGTAGTAATTATTATATCTGAAAGTTTCTTTATCACCAGGATTTTATGATTAATTTTAAAACACTGTATGGCAGCTCTTACAGTATTTAGAATACATCATGGAATGCATACAGCTACAATAAAAAAATTTAACATATCTATAATTCTGAGTGTTCAAAAGCCCAAATCTAAACCTCTAAGAAAAGGGACAGCAAATGTCCCCTGAAGTTCCTTTTGGAGAACACCTAGTGTAGAACCCTTCACTGCACCGTCCCCTTTTTTTACATTGACTGCAGCACATTCTCCCAGTTTTACTCTTTTGTCTGATGTTTATGACCTTATATGAAGTATGAACAACAAACACTAAAAATGTTCTAGATTTGTCTCTTTTAGTCTGGACCGTGGATCAAAAAAGCGTGTTAAGAGACCACGGATGAACTGTTTACGTGGATATACAGATGCCATCCAACACATTGTTTTAAAATTACTGACTTTGCCTGCACAATTCGTAGGAATTGTTGACTATTAAATCAAGTGGGGCACCACAATCGTCTGCTTTCTAATTAGGCTCATTATTCTAAACAGTCGCAATGTCATTATTAAGTTATTATAGGAAATAATTTATGCTTACACAGTGCAAACATGAAGAAGTCATTTTAACCCACTTTCTTGCTAACAGCAGGTATTCTAAGAAGAAAACCTTCAAAGGATGTTGTTATACTTGCAATCCCTTTGGCTAACAGACACACCATGAAAAACAGTTACAGGAGTTCTGTCCTCAGGAAAACACTCTCAGCAGTTAAACCCCTAAGCATGTTCTTTTGATCCTTACCGAACCTAATCTGTCTAGGTATTTGGAAAGTATTCCAATTGCAAAATCCCTCTTGTTACATTTAGTGCCCCTTATCCTTTTGGTTGGCATTCCGCTACCATCACCTTATTTCATAATTTAAAAAATCACATTGTGTTCAAGATTAACTTCTTACACACCTTGGAAAAATAAGAGTCTGAATTTACAGAAGGACACATTGCAAACTTCATTATCTAATTAACAGACAGTAGAAATCTAATATATCTAATCAAGTGTTACATGATTAATACAACTGAAGGTACCGTGGGGAGAATCACATCTGTTCTCTGGCAAAACTTTTGTATGCTTGAACCTTTTAAAACAGTTCCACAAAACACTAAATGATTTCTGTTCCACCAGGTCTACAGCCACTCATATGAAAAGCCTTAATACAAACAGCAAATGCTTTAATATATCAACTATTTGGATTATAAATGGTAAAGTACACATTTATATAAAGTTCTGTTCAAACTCCACTAAGTCACTTGAGACCACTAAAATTCTACTCTTGCCCAATTCTAGTGATAAAATCAAAGTTCATAAAGGTAACAGAAGGGAGTTAAATTGATTCCAGTGAAGCTGGCATGCACCTATGTATCCCAGTGGGATTTCCTCCTTTTCCTCTCATTGTCCTGCACAGATGTGATTTCTTATGAACACAAATACAGGAGGAATATTCAGTTTGCATAATAGCTAAATAATACTGCTCATTATTTATCGGAGAGCACAAGATTGCGCTTCATTATAAAATACAAATCCCTATTAAAGGTAAATGGATGGAGCATTGAATTAAATGAAGATGAAATACCTATAGTTGCATAATCAGCATAGTTTTAAATAACATGTAGAGTCATAACCTAGTGTGATATCCTGTCCTGTATCAGCAGTAGTGTAGCCAGCAGGACCAGAGCAGTGATTGTCCCCCTGTACTCAGCACTGGTGAGGCTGCACCTCGAATCCTGTGTTCAGTTCTGTGCTCCTCAGTACGAAAAAGACATTGAGGTGCTGGAGCATGTCCAGAGAAGGGCAATGGAGTTGGTGAAGAGCCTGGTGCATAAGTCCTACGGGGAGCAGCTGAGTCGGGTAGGGTTGTTCAGTCTGGAGAAAAGGCAGCTCAAAGGAGGACATTATCACACTCTACAACTGCCTGAAAGGAGGTTGTAGCCACGTGGGGGTCGGTCTCTTCTCCCAGGTAACAAGTGATAGGACATGATGAAACAGCCTTAAGTCACATGAGGGGACATTATGCTGGACATTAGGAAAAATTTCTTCACCAAAAAGGTTGTTGAGCATTGGAACAGGATGCCCAGGGAAGTCGGTGAAGTCACCATCCCTGAAGATATTTAAAATACACGCAGATGTGGCACTTGGGGACATGGTTTAGTGGTGGAATTGGCAGTGCTGGGTTAACGGTTGGACTCGATGATCTTAAAGATCATTTTCAATCATTCTATGGTTCTATGGTTCATATAGTTGTTACTATAGTTTCATACAACATGGAAAAGCTGCCATGAACAGGAGTTTATTTTCTACATCACAGGATAACATAGTCTAGGGCACGCTTACATAACTCAGCTACAATGATTACAATAGGTACAAGCTACAAAAAAGAAAAAAAAAAAAGAAAGAAGGAGTAAATGTATTCAAAGCTTCTTCTAAAACTAAGACTTGATATAATTTGTTAAGATATCACTGGTATACTAGCACTTCAAGAGAAAATAGTATTTTGGTGATCAGATGAGCAGAATTTTCTTGAGCTGAGTTTGGAATAATAGTTACTGCCACATCTGGTTTCAGTATCTAGCCAGGAATTAATCCATTACTTCCATTCCTTCCAGGAATAAAAATCATTTATTCCAGGAATAAAACCAGCTCCCAGTTCTCACATTTACCTCTAAGAGCAATCTCCATTACATACTCTTTTCCTCTGCTGCTGTGCATTGCCAGCTCCTCTGCAGGACTCTGATTCTACATGGCAGTATCTTCTAAGGTTAGAATGACTGCTTCTGCAAAAGCTGAGAGCAATATAGTTTCCCTTTAAATCCTTGCAACACATCACTGAGAATTATTCTGTAACACTCTTGCTACAGAAGGCAAGGTAGAACATTCAGTGCTGTATCTTCAGCTGTTCAAAACAAACCAAATGGCAAAGTACAGAGAGCACCCACCCCAATCTTTGGTTCCATAACTCAGATCTCCCAGCTTTTGAAACAATCCTTCGCTCTGGTTTGGGTTCTCCTTCAGAGAGCAGAGAACTAAGTCATGCTCACCTAAAACTCAATGAGGTTTAAAAAAATCTAAAGGTCACATTTTTTATGGGTTCTATCATCCTATACTACATGGGGACATTCAAGAATGCTGCTTTTCCTCTGGTAAAATGCTGCAACCATAAGAAGAACTTATCTCCAAAGGAAGTGTTGCATTGCAATACACTCCCTTCAATCTGAGAGCAGATGAATACCCATGGATTTTCTAAACCAAAGTGCAAGTGCACAGAAAAGCCTCTGCTCATCTCCTGTGCCAGACTGCAGAGTGCTGGAGGGGCTTTTCTTTTTTCTGTTGTTTTCCTCAATAGCATGATGGGAATGAAAACAGTCTCTGAAGTGAATTACTGAATTCAGTGTCACATCTTTGAATTGCTTTTTACTCATACGTGTTTGGGTTGCTTTTTAGTTTTTAAGTTAGGACTTTTCATTAAATTATCTTGAGATTGTGAATGAGAGACTAGGATTTTTCTGCTGTATTAAGAATAAGAAACACCTTTATTATAGAACCCAGAGATGCAGATTCAACAGCACTCTGACCACTTACAACCATTTTTGTTAGTACAAAGCTTTATTTTCAAGTCTGTTCCAGTCTAAATATTTCCTGTAACAAGGCAGATGCAGAAGATATTGCTTTCTTGGACATCAATAAAGTTCACATTTATTTGAGACACGGCTTTTTTTTTTTTTTTTTGCCAACAACAGCACAACTAATTGTGAGCAGTTTATTTTTAAAAACTGCAGATCGTGATGCATTCGAGAGATGGCATCTTCCAATCGTTATGGTGATCATGGTAACCGCTCTCATTTTCAGCTTCTTAAAGAAATGCCTGGCTCCCTCGAGCAAGTACCCTTGGGAGAAAATGAGACAGCACTTGCATAAAATCATATGCACAGCACAGAGATAAAGCCATGCTGTTGTTAGGCAGCATATGTTGCAAGAAAATGATTTGTAGTAAGTAAAACCTTCCATGTCTGCAAAGCTGTTTAATGAAAGATGTAAAAAAGAAATGGATGCCTTTTCTATAGCAATCAGGAAAAAAAAAAGTAAATCTTTTTTTTTTCTAAAAAAAACTCCCCATCTCGAAATAACATGTTCATCTTAAACACAGTTAGATATCTTGCAATATTTGTTTTCTTCTATCAGATGCCTTAATTTCAGCTTTATTAATCAATATTTTTAAATGAAAATACATGATGTATTTAAAACAAATTCTTATATTAACATGTGAATTTTTTATTAAATAAAATTCTTACCTTAATAATTTTGTTCCAGATGGGCTGCATAATATACACAGATAAAGGATTTGTATCCACAGCACTGTACTGTGAGGAAAAAGCAAACATGTTAAACAAAGCACTGAACAATGCCTGTTTTTTTTAGCACTGTATATCCTTTAGCATCTAAGAGCAATCACTCTGAGTGTGACTGGTGTAAATTCATCTTGTTCTGATGACCATTCATACAGGTTTAATTTAATTTAACAGCACTGGCCTGGTTTACACTTACCCTGCTAGTAACTCCATGTACTAACACAAAGGTTTAGGCTTGTGAATTGGCAAACAGCTCTGCAGTCACATTTTACTTTTAGATTCTTAATAATTTTACAAGTTATCCTCTAAGAGTCTGCATTTCTACCATATTTTGGATTTAATTTATTTGCACTACCACTGATACATAGTCTGAGCAGTGGTTCATTGCTAGTATTAGGATAGATAATGCATATGGAATACGTTCATAAGTGGAATATTATCTTGCAGAGATACAAAGCTTTTGTCATAGTAACACAGTTGCATTTGCACTATGCTAATTCATGTAAGCCAATGTTATTATAAAAATAAGCCTAAAACAGCGCAGTCCATTACCACAATAAAATTTTCCCATTGGACAGACTTGTAAATGTATTTTATGTCTTTTATAAATCCCAACAGGTATATATCTGTACCTCTTGCAAACAAAATATTTCAGAAATCCAACCCCACCCCATATTGCTGATGTCTGCTTTTTCCTCAGAGGGCAGTATCAAGTTTTATCCTGCCTTGAGACTGCAGAACACAGAACCAGAACAATCTGCAGAAGAATGATCTTAACTGACAATACCACTTGCAATTATGTTCTTGAGCCCTGGCAGGTCCGCAGTCAAAGAAGTTATCCATCACTGGGGTGATACATGTAATTATTTCAGAAATTCTAGGACTTTGAAAATGCATATGTTGCTTAATGTTGTTAGCATGATGCATATGACTCATATAAATCTTCAGATATATCTATATATACCAAACATTGTGTGCAGATAATGGGAACAAGATAGGGATGTGTTAGACCACAGGTTGACAAAGCTGTTCACACGCAGAAGAGCTGATGACAAAGAGTCTTTCATTTCACATAACTCCAGCTAACAGTTAACTGTTCTCTCTATATATAGTTAATTTATTGACCTCTCTTAGCCAACTACCCTTTGGATAAGACTGCACTCTGGAAGTAGCTACTTCAAGCCATTAATTATCAAAGCAGCCTACACGTTTGTCTTAAAATTAGACACCTTTTAGGTGACTGAAATCTAGCAAGATTCATTTCAGTTTCCGTATCCCTATCTCCAAGCTTTTCCATACACACCTAACTTGCACACATGGGAGCTAAGAGCTTCCAGTGGCCAAGTGCAAGTGGGACAAAAGATTCACGCAGTGTGCCTCAGGTTTTGCATGCCCAGACTATGACTTTGCATCCCATCTTTCTGAAGGTATCATCCTATGGAACACTTAGGAACTCTTCCATACATTTCCTTTTTCTATATGCGTACAAAGGATACGTTTTAATTACCCTCTAGCCAAAAAAAAGTACTCAGATAATTATTTTGTGATTTGTGGTTAAGTTTAAACCACAATCATAAATACAGTATTCTTGTAAATTTATCATAACACAGCTATATGTTGTGAATACATATTGGTAGATATCCAAGAAATCACCTAGCAGCAACTGGTCAGACCAGGCTGCCTAAATTTCCCAAGGGAAAAAAAAGTAGTTTAATGAAATGGGCATCACTGAGGTTTTTTTCTAAAAATACTGAAATTGTTCACTTTAGTGCATCATTTTTCCCTTCTTCAGTGACCCATGTTACTTAAACCATGGTACAATTCTTTCATCAACAGCTTTTCTGTAGAATATATACCAGAATTCTTGAACACATTACCTCCGAAAAAAAATTAATTTTCTGGTAAAACTAAAGTTTTCACTATTCTATGTGTATTTGCAGCTCCAGATGCTGTATCTGCCTTTCAAACATTATTACGACTGATTGATCATTTCATAGTCCAGCTTGCATGTGAATTCACCCAAGTCTGTGGGCTTTGCTTATATTCATGCCAAAACTAACAACACAATACCAAGCCATACAATACCTATGCCAGTAGACCTGCCAGCTAGTACTTAACTCATACGACAACTACGGAAATCCTCTAAAAATGAAGAAAATTCAAAGTATTCATTAGCATTTTTGAGGTTTCAGGTAATTACAAATCTGCCCAAAGTTTCACAGTAGCTCTTGCCCACTTTCTTACCCCAGCTGATATTCAAAGACTATGCAAGGTATGTGACAACTTGCTGACCAGCAAACTCAGTATATTCAGCCATACCTGGATAAGAATGTGAAAAGGTCAAATACATGACCTTTACTCCTGCTCCTGCTTTAGCTTTCTCTTTCTCCCCTCCACCCCAAGCCTTCAAAGTCATGAACAGAATCACAAAATGTTAGTTAAACAACAACAGTAAAATGAAAGTTTCTGCCTAAAGCATTCACTTTTTACAGGTGCAGAATTATTGCTTTCTCTAAGGAGAAAAAAGAAAAGGAAAATCAATCTCATTTATATTTTCTATATATGAAAATTTTAAAGAAGAGACGAATAGGTATTACATAATGTTTGCATTTTCTGAAATGGAAAATATATGAGATTATGTAGCTTTCCAACATATCAGACACAAACATAAAACACAGTCAGCTTTTTGTCTGCCTGATGGTTTCCAAAGTCAAGCACCAAAAATCGAACCAGTCTTTATTAGAAAAAAAGCCAAACCAAACCAATAAAACAAACCCAAAACCAAACAAAAACAAAACCCAAAGAAACAAATAAAAAAAAAAAACAAAAACAAAAAACCCAGTAAACTAGAATTATAGCCAGTTTTTGTCACCTAAAGACATTTCAAGACCCACCAGACTTCATCCTGTTCCTTCCTATGTCTGTGGCTGAACTATGGGTGGGGAAGGAACATTCAGCAGATGTGAAGAAGAATGGAAATTTGCTCTCCCCTCACCAGTAATCTGTTTTAGCCAGAACAAAAGGGAACACCCATGGAAAAAGCATTCTTCTAGTTTTCTGTCATGGCAAAACATAAAGCCTGACAAAGAAAATCTGCTATACAGTTTAATACCCTGCTTTGTTCTGCTCCCAAGAAGCTACTAACCTCAAGGCCATGAAATCCTCAGGAGTTTAATGTTCATGGCTGCTCAGAAAAGCAAAGCACTGAGTAACATGCTCACATTATGATCAGTGAACATGAATGCAAGAGTGCACTGAACCTTATGTAAAAAAAGTACTGCCATTTGCTATTGTGTAATTCTGTCCTTTTCGGGGCATTTTAGTAAAAGTCAGAAGTGAAAGAGGATAAGCCTGTTAGAGGTTTTTAAGTGCAAATCCCATACAAGTACTAAGCATTCCCCTGCAAACACTTTCTGCCCTAGAAAAGGGAACTTGATTGTCCTTATACAAAGAAGAAAGGCTTGGAATAATCAGAAAGTTTCTGTCAATTACTTTTGAAAGGAATTGTAATAGTTGAGAGGGAACACCAGTAGCATTAATTGACTCCATCTTACTCCCAAGTTAAAAAATTCTTCTGTTTCTTTTTTTGGTTTTGAGTTGGTTTTTTTTAATAGCTAGAACCTCCTTGAAAGCCATCTGCTTTCCCTCTCAGTGTTAATAACAGCTTAGCAGAGCTGGAAATGAGGATACAGACACCAGACATGTGCCACACAGAGATGTTGGTTCGAGCAGCACACGTGAGATATGCTTTTACTATGTGTTCCTGCATCTTAATCTCCATCCAGGGGATCCAACACAGCATCAAGTTTGTACTGGTCAACTCTGTCAGAGGAGAGAGGAAACATGAGAAGATTAAGAGGAAGAGGGAAAAAAAGGAAAAAAACGGTTAAGAAAAGTAAGAGAAAGGAAAGAAAAGTAATTGAGGAAAACAAGAAAAATGAGCCAAAGCAAAGGTTTTGGCTACACAGAAGAAAGACAACCATTCTGAAGTGGCAGAGCACTGCCAAACACCTGAGGGCAAAAGCACTCACAGTGACCAAGGTCTGCACTGCTGAATATAAGACAAATGGTACCTTCTGGCTCACGTCCACACAGCTTAGAAATACCTCCCCTTATTTCAAACTGGTCACATCCACACCTCACAGCATCTGCTGGAGGGGTGTTCGGCCTCCTCACCTGGCCCTGCACACCTAACACATTATTAGGATGGAATACACTTTACTTCAAAGTATCTGAAGCAATCTGGAGACTACACTGAAACCCAGCAATATGGCATGTTCAGAGCATGGAATTGAGCACTCTGTGTTGCACATGTTCACAAATCCAAATGCCCATGTCGGAAGAGTGTTGATGGATTGTGAAAGCCAAAAATGGTGTGCACTGCCTCCAGAATGGATTATTCCCAAAACAAAGCCTAGTTATTGCCTTGGGGAGACTTTGGAGAAAAAAACAAAGCAAAAGAACCATTAATCAGAGCAGACAGCTGGATCTTCATTGGACTCCCTAGTCCTCTCCAGCCTTACATTGTGGAGGCATCCCAAGAAGAAAATTTTGGAATTACTACAATTAAGAGAAAAATATAAAGCATGTCTACACAAACTTCAGAGTCAGGAGAGAAAGTAAGCCCCAAGAAATGTAGTTCCATAACTGCTAGGAAATAGTTACTTCAACCTCAATTACTTCTTATGCTAACAGACTATTCCTTTCCTGTACTAAATTATCTTTTTCCAGGTAGCATCATATTGTGTCACACGGTCATATACATTCAGAGATACAGAGTCAAACTGTTGTGAATTGTTTATATTTGAGCTGTTGGCATCAAAATGACTCTGCAGGTCTTAATTTTGTATTAGTAGCAACAAATTTGCTACACTTCCCATTCCTGCACAGAAAATAGTAAATTTTAATTTTTGATTGACCTCATGAATCACATGATTTATTATCTCTGTTGTAAATGCTGGGAGACTGAGGTACATGGGGGCTGTAATTCACCCTAAGGCTGAAGAATAGAG